GTACCAAGTATATACATATATAGGTATATACATTCGCGAAGATCTTAGGCATAAACTTGTACTATCTTCAACAAATACGGATTGCCTGCGTAGCGAATATATTTTTATCGAAGTTGGACTTTTAGGGGGGAAAATGTCTCTTGGCTGTCATATATTTACCTCCTAAGACGAGCAGCATAGACATTCTAGACGAAACCTTTCACATCTGCGGTAAATTCTTATGTATATGTTATTGTAATGAGTGACTTTAATCATAACTTATTAAAAGCCTCTCCCTCTGCAGAGCCCTTCTTTGCGCGGTTTTTCCACAGCATGTGTCCCGAACTTTTACCTCTAACACCAACACACCTCTCAAAGAACACAGAAACGTGGATCGATCATATTATAGTGTCTAATGCAAACAAAGTTTAAAAACACGGACAATTTCCAGTTCCTGTGACTTCAAAACACGACCAAATTTATCTTGTATACAACCTGAAGTGCCCTAAATACGAGTACTCATCTCACATAATTAAATACCGCGATTTTTCAAAATTTGATATGCAAGCTTTAATTTAGATGCATTGACACTTCCATGGCACTTGTACACGAAGAAGAATCACTGGATGATAAAGTGACGATTTTCACTAACGTATTAACACATCTATGACCGGCATGCGCCTTTAAAAATTTCGCGTGTAACTCCTCCTCCTGCACCATAGTTAACTAATGAAATTCGAAATTTAATGAGAGATCGTGATGCAGCGTATGCTATTTTCCGGAAAACTAAATGCGAACTACTTAAAAAACAGTGCAAAATGCTCACACATTTAGTTACACAGAAATGCCGCAACGCTAAAATAAAATATTACCACCCCACCTTCGGCAGAAACAGCGACTCGAGAACGATTTGGAAAAATTGGAAAAATCTACGAATGGGCAAAGGTCCTCCCCAAATTAAAACGAATGTACCCTTAGAATCACTAAATCACAGTTTCATAAATAACGTTCCTTCATTTGACAGTAACTTGAAAAAGCAATCTCTTTTGTTTCTCCAAAACTCAGCAATAAAATCCAACGATAAATTTTTGTTTTCATCTGTTGGACATCAGGATATAATCAAAATCGTCCAAAGTCTCAAATCAAATGCTTCAGGTTCCGATGGTATAAATGCCAAACTGCTAAAAAAAGCCTAGATGTGACACAACCAATCATCACCGAAATAGTAAATTTCTCACTAATGAGCAGGCAATATCCCTCATCCTGGAAGACTGCGCTCGTGCCTATTCTCAAGACAGCATCTACCAAAAACCCTATTGAATACCGCCCAATTAGCATCCTCCCAACTATCTCTAAAGTACTCGAAAAAGTCGTCCGGAAGCAAACTGAACAGTATCTTCGAAAAAATAACTTTTGAACGATCAGCAATCAGGTTGGAACTCGCAAGTAGATTCAACCTGCCGTAAAGTTTTTGCCTCAATGCATTCACTGAAACGCCTGCGAGCACTTTTACCAGGTAGCACACGTGAGACTCTCATCAAATCACATATCATGCCACATTTCGACTATTGCGATATTCTTCTAACCAACATGACATTCAAATTACAACGTAAACTCCAAGTAGCCCAGAACGCATGCGTACGTTTTATTTTTGATCTAAGAAAAGACGACCATGTATCGGAATTTTTTGACAGAATTCGTATGCTTACTCTAGACAAAAGACGGTTACTCCATTCTCTACTTCTTTATAAAGTTTTAACCGCTTCTCTTGCAACACGCCTCATAAGCAACTTCAATCCTCTGAAACTAAATCAAACTCGTGAATCAGCTCTGCTCTGTGTACCACGTCACAACACGACTTCGTTCAGTAAATCATTCACCATTACAGATATCCGAGCCTTGAATAAATTACCAGCGAGTCTAAAACATTCAAATACTTTCGGTAAATTCAAAACTGAATTAACCACATGGGTAAGAAATAACGACATTTAGAATAGCGTTAACGTCTTCTTCAATCTCCAGACTTCTCCCACTTCCAAGCGTCCGGTCATCGCCTCCGTTAAACACCGTACTTTCCCCCTCTATTTTCAAAATTCTGCCCCATACCTCTATCCTCATCTTCCATTCCCTCTCACGCCTAAATTATTAGCATTATTATTTTTCTGTGTACCCTAATTAAATTGTTTAATAAAATATACAAAATTATTAGTGACGTTCCAGATAAAATATACTTGTAGCTATCTTTGTACCATCATCATAATATTTATTATATTAGTATAAACAAAATTGATGGTAAGATACCAGCACTCTTTATATTCTTCCTTAATACTGCCAATATTGTGTTTAAAATTACTGTTGTTATTTGCCTTTAATGTATTGTGCTTCTCTGGTGTTAACATTATTTTATATTTATGTAAAGTGCCACTGTAAATCAAACGTACCTCCTGTAACGTTCCTCAAATAACTTCACTTTTTCGCCTACTTCTTCTTCATCCTTTTTTTCGCTTCTTTTCTCTTCCCTCTCCCTCACATATTTCATCATTTTTACTTTATGACCCCTTCCCATGTACGTCTTTTCTTTTCTCTTTCAGTAAACTTCCCTTTCACTACTATGTATAACATACTCAGTTCTATTAATTTTCGGCCCTAAGCCGCTATCCTGATTGAGGTTTTTCTGGGTTTACTCAATCGCTTAAGGCGTACGCCGGGATGGTCCCTAGATTTGTTCTCTCAGACGTATATGTACAGCTTGTTCACCCCTCTTAAAATGTTACTACTCTATATGTACCTAAATTCAGTGGTTAGGTGGAAGAGGCCTATATATGAAATCTATGGCCTGAGCCTCGCCATTAATAAAGGCATTATTATTATTATTATTATTATTATTATTATTATTATTATTATTATTATTATTATTATTACTAGTGTCACATTTGTTTTACATGGATGGTCTTAAAGTGGTTGCTAAGAATGAAGCAATTCTGTCTATCATGAATGACTTTAGCAGTGACATATGCATTAAGTTTGGTGTTGACAAGTGTGTAAAAATCAATTTAAAGAGAGGCATATTGACAACGTCAGAGATCTTTGAAGTTGATATGAATTCTGTTATTCAGTGCCAGGGAAAACTTACAAATATCTGGGCATTAAATAATGTGAGACCATCTCGATCGAAACAATGAAAGAGAGAATTATTATTACAGAGGCGTATTACAGAAGAGTGAGACTTGTTCTGCAGTCCCCTCTGAAATTGGTAGTGTGGCGGCGCCTGAAGTCAAGTACAGTTTCGGACTCGTGGAATGGACTGAGCAAGACATTCGAACCATGGATCGAAAACTACTAAGTATCATGTCTCCCACCCTCGAACTAATGTACGTAGACCTTGTGTCACGTAAGGAAGGCGGAAGAGACTTCACACAAATTGAAGCCGCCTGGCACAATGCAATTGTCGGGATAGAAAAATATGAAGTCAGTCATCAAGTTGATCCCCTAATGAGGCAGGTCATGAAATCTGACCGAAGAATGGGTAACATTGGCATTGTTAGTGTAGCAAGAAGCATTGCAAAGAAAACTATGCAAGACACGCAGAATAACACAGACACTGAACTTCTGATGCTACTAAACATGAAATGTTAGACACAAAAATTGTTAAAGAAATCGGGGAGAGACAATTCACTTCATGGACAATATCTAAAAAGAATGAACAAGATGCAGATCAATTAAGGTCAATCATCATGTGGCTTTAAAGATGAAGAATGAAGTCAGAATCGTAAGCAGTTCTAAAAGTTACTCAAGATCAGGTGATGAGAACGCGACGTTATAATAAAGCGGTTTTCAAAATTTCCCAAGATAAATGCCTCATCTGACAGAAACAAGTAGTAACCAATTATCACATTGTCTCAGCGTGTTCAATTCTAGCAATGACAGAATACTTGAAAAGACACGAGAGGGTGTGTAGTTACCTCCACTGGCAGATCTGTACCGCCCTCGAAGTTCCAAACACATGTCCCAAATAGTATGAACACTCACCAAAACCGGTGTCATCTGTTGGACTCTATACAATATTGTACGACCAACAAATTCAAACGGATCGCACGATAGCAGCTAACTGGAATTTGTTATCCGGGATTTGGAGAAAAATTGTGTCTACGTGTAGATGTTGCTGTGACTTTCGATCAAAATGTCGTAACCAAGAAGACAGAGAAACGTCATGCAAGTGTTTGGAAACCGAGATCGGCGAAATGTGGTGCGTAAAAGCACAGGTCGAACCGATAGACATTTGTTTGCTCTGGTATTTGTTCGGCAAAATTTATGGAAAAACTTGGCTAAACTCCCAGGTCATTCATAAGGCTGGGAAGAGATAGAAATTGCTTTATTTGGAACAGCTCACATTTTGCGCAAAGAATTGTAGAGGCACCGCTAGATCTGCTCCTTCGGTAGCTGGTTGCAACCTGGAGTAGATTTCATATATACTTATAACATCTTAGCCGTGATGTAGAGGAATAATAATAATAATAATGGTAATAATAAAAAATAATAACAATAATACGGCCCTGTGGTGTCCTTTTTTTTGTAGAATAGTGCCACGGTGTCTCTCCCTGTCGGAAAAAGCATCTGTTCGCTGTCCCTCCATTTACAATTGATTTATATTTCATTCCCCAAACCTTTCCCTTTGTCTCACTATTCCTTACCATTATTGTTACCTTATCTGTTTTCCCGAAATATTTACTATCCATTTCACCCTTTTCTTTACGTTCCCCGAGTCCAACCCTACGTGAACAGAGACAATAGCTACGTCACGTACTGGGCGAGCAAAATCACTATTGAGTGTCGGTTATCAGGGCAATGGCAACCCGCCAAATCGGATGCCTGTCTGTTCTTCTGGAAACTGAGAGTTAACCTGTACCCCTGACTTCCGGGGAAGGGATTAGCAACTGAGAGATGAGGCTGTATCCAAAATAGCCACCCATGTGTTTTTTGCGGGCTCTAGGTACCTGAGCTTCGTCCTTAGGAGTTGAGTGATGGTGCGCAGATGTGGCTCTGGCTCAGAGGCGAGAGGTGCTTCCACTCTCGACTCTCACCCGCCGATGGGGAAGCAGTTATGAGAACAAGTCAAAAAATTCGTGACGCATGCGTCCCGCACTTGCAAGGCGGCACTGCGAATTCTGTCGGCAGCAGTGAGACATGTGCTATCTGTGCCAGTGGAGGACAGTGGGGGCATTTCTTACCATTTGGGAGGGTGTGGCGCTGGACCACTTATGACGGCCACAATACAAATACTGGGGGACGCAGTTTGTGTGAGACAACAGCTCAACCTGCCCGACCTCAGAACAAACGACAGCGCATGAAATGAACTAAGGAGTACATATTTCCATTACGCATGCGTACTTTTTCGCTACCAGACTTGAAGTGGACTTGGAGGGATATAGGACGAGATTTCACAAAGAATGTTTGAAGCTGCATCCGAACATACCTATATCCGAGCAGAGAGTGTGCGACCAACAGCGCACTTTCATTCTAAGGAACTTTCTCTCAACCGCAGAGATGAATACCATAGGGGGAATGTAAGAGCATGCTTGGATGTTGACAATACGTATGAAACTGGTGAACGAAGAAGTAATGAAGACCCACAAGCTAATCAGGAATGGTCTGTGGAGTCGAATTCTGATACATCCTTCCTCCTTATGCCTGAGCAATGTTCTTGGGCTTACGAAACCATGAAGACATACTATCATGGTGTGCCCATATCCTCCTGGCCATAGATCTCACGAGTGGGATATGGCCCACGTGCAAGTGCGGCGATGGAAACTGTCAATGTGCTAAAGGTGTGTAGGACGACATCGTTTGAGGAAGTGGTATGCTATGTGTTTTGCGCAGCCTTGGTAAAACTGTAAAGGATCAATTGAAAAACATCAAAAGATACAGTACACTCCACTAAGCCCACCAAGCCCCCATGATTGAGGCGTATTGAGTTTCAAGATTGAAAGCTTCCATCGGGACATAGGCACTCTGATTACCTTCTTTACAGCACCTGAGAAGCAACTAGAAAGGACTCCAGTGCAGTAAAGGCGACTGAACCTAAAATGAGAATTCGAAGAACCCAGCCGAATTTTGAGGAGAGGTTTCGAGACCGACTTGAGTATCTGAAACAGCGTGTCACAGCCCTTGGGTATAAGAATAAACCGTATAAGAAGATATCATAAAATAATGAAACGATGATAATGCTAACAGAATGTTATGTACTCTTGCGACCAGAAGTATATTGGAGTAACATATAAAGCATTCCCAAGACCCATGATGACGGAGCTTACTAGGTAGCAGACTAGGAAGAGTAGTGTGGCGATATACCTTAAAAGTGCTTGCCTAATATTACACCAAGAGATATCTTCAATTCAGTAAGGAAGTCGCAGAATTGGAAATTCATGGGATACAAAACTGGTGGAATTATTTCCCGTGTACTCATGCGGGTCTGTCCAGGTGGTTTCAAGCCGCATTCAACGATCCAACTTCCATTCTGACGTCTTTTAATGAAGGAGTTAAATTTACTATAAGCAAATTTAGCGATTCTCAGACTCCGACTATCGACCTATCACATGTCTCCCCACACTATATAAAATGTTTACATCTGCCCTAGTCAGTATGTGGAATACCCATTTAAATGCCATCTATCTTCTAGCACCAAAGCAAAATGCTTGCAGAAAGAGTGCTCAAGGCAGCAAATAATTATTGATAGAAGACAGTGTTGTAATCAATCAAGCCAAAAATGACACCACAGAAGATAGGATGCTGTATGATGGATCGATTATGCCAAGGCCTTGCACTCGATACCTCACTCATGTCTTTTGTATATCCTTCGCGTCTACATGCCCAGTATGTGAATCTAATCCAACACTGCATGGCAACTTATCATACAAAGATAAAAAAGTCTCATTTGCTGGAGGCAGCTACACCACTAAGGAACTGAGGATCACAAGGGGAATTTTCAGGGAGATAGTCTGAGTCCCTTATGATTCTTCCTAGCTCTAAATCCTCTCAGAAGAATGTTAAGAGATTCGGGGATGGAATAAGAAATCACAAAAAATCCCCATATTCTCATTAATCATCAGTTCTGCATGGACAATCTCAAGTTTTACGCCAGAGATAAGAAGCTTTCCTCGTTGCTTGAAATTGTTAAGTCCTTTAGCGACTATTTGTAGGGAGTTTGGCATTGATAAATGCGCTGCAGTGCACGTGAAAATGGGAAGAATCCTTGATCCTGAGAAACTCATTCTGATGCGTGCACAAATATCCAAGAATTTGGGCAAGATGATACCTATGAATATTTGGGCATGCATCAACTTTTGAGCACAAGTGAAGCAAGGACGTGGTATTCCAAATAAAGTCTTCCAAAGAATCGCAAAAATTTGTAAAACTCTTTTAAATGGACAGAACCTCATATCTGCCATCAACAATTGGGCAGTACCAGTGGCTGCCTATTTGGTGTTGTTCTTTGGACAACAACTGCACTACAGGAGCTTAATAGAAACGTTAGGACTACTCTTACCAAGTACCACATGTAACATCCCAACAGTTCAAAGGCAAAATTATACTTGCCTCGGAAAGAAGGAGGTAGAGGTCTTCTGAATTTTGGGTCCTTGTGCACCAACAATCTTCGCAAATACTTCCTTAAGAAAACGACGGTGAAGCAATTTGTGCCTCGGACAAGGATTTTACTCTATTGAGCCTCAATCAAGCGGACAACCATGTATCATCAAAGACGAGAGGCTGAGGGGACTCAGAAGCCTTTCCGCGGCAGATTTCCTGCTGAGCTCAAAGGGAATGCTGAGAACATGCGATCGCCAGTCTCCTGGCTAACAAAATCTGGCCCCTTTGCTGAGACTTTGTCATTTCTATTCAGAGCGAAGTAACTACCACTTGCAATTTTAAAAAATATGTGATTGGGGTTATGAGTACTGAGGACTGCTGCCGCCTTTGCAATCAACCCGACAAAACCCTCCAACACATAATGGCCAGGTGTCCCGCTTTGGTACAAACAGAATACCTGAGTCGGCACAACGGCGTTGCTGCGATAGTCCATCAGGCCCTAGCTGCATAGTTAACTAGTGGTACTACAGAATGGAACAGACTTTCCCGTATTAGATTTCCATTGACTTTGGTCTCGGCTAGCTATTCGAACTTGCCACATATTCTTGCCTGCTGCCATCTATCGCCGCCCGAATTGCATTTTTTGACATTTTCTTAATTTTGCGGATTCCTAACTGTAGAGCGGAAATATTGTTTTAATATTATTAAAAAAAACTTCGCCCTAAATGGCAATTTTCTTGGAAAATTTGGAGCCGTTTTTAAGAAACTGGTATTTAAGCGATACTGTAAATTCAAAATTTGAAACTTATTTCACAGGAAATTTTTGAGTTTTCGAAAACTTAATTTGAAGTCATTTTAAGTACTTTAACTTACAAGTGCAATAGTGGATATGTGCATATCAAGGGCGAGAGAAATCTTTCATAAAATTTACATTTGTATAACTTAAAAAAATACACCGGAATGAACTTTACTTCATATTAAAGAGTGAAATGAGCACAATCCGTTCGAAATGTTTGAAAAAATGGATCCGTTTTCGAGAAAATGGCGTTTGAGCGTTTCTGAAAATGGGGAATTTTGAGCTAGTTTCCACAGAAAACGTTAGAGCTTTCGAGAAGCATCATTTGACAATGTTTACAGCACTCATAAATACAATAATGTCAACAATGCCGCTAATATAAATATTAACAACATGAGAGTCAAGTCAAAAAAATACATTTTTGTAATTTTTGAAAAAATAAAATAATAAAGCAATATGGTGTTTATGTCATCTTATAGAGTTGCCAAAAGTTTAAAGAAAAAATTTGGAGCCCTTTCTGAGAAAATTTGGTTTTGTAATTTTTTTAAAGTTGCACCTATTGCACGCAATATTGCGCAAAGACTACTTTTTTTTTAGTGTATATGATTAAATGAAAGAACTCCCTATGAATAATAAATTTTATTTGAAGGAAATATCTCTATCTTTAATTTTGTAACTATAAGAAGACACAGAAAAAAATTCATATTTTTGAAATTTTCGAAAATTTAGTTAAGCATGAAAATCGGACCTATGCGGCCGTTTATACGTGAAATACAAGTGAATATTGTAAATTGGAAGTTAATTGTTGTTTTTCATAAATTCATGATTAGTTTTGGTGAAATAAATATATTTGTTTGATTGTTGACATGATGAGGCATTGAAATAAATGTAGACTAGGATTAGATACCATATTATAAATTACGTAAATTGATAATGTCGGGATAGTACTTTAAAAAATACAAATCATTGTTAAGAAAAATCATACGGCAGGATAAAATCATGAAATATAACCAGGATATTTTGAACTCAAATAATAAAACAAAAGCATATAGTATTTTTAACATATAGTAAAAATTTCCACCAAAATCAACTAGACACCTTGTAGAGAATTTGTTTTTAAAGATAACGATAGAAATGTGAACGATCCGGCAGCAGTGGCTAGTCTCTTTATGCATTACGCCATGAGGAAGGTCGCAGAATGGCCACAGAAACGTCGGCAACTTCGCCATGGACGCGTCGTCACCCGGACAGACAAGTAAATACTGACTCCGGCCGCGGAAGCCTACGCTCTGAAGAACAGTTCTCTTTACGGATGATACGAATATTCTTTGCAATAACGAAACCGTAAATAGTACAATATCAGATATTTCAAATTGGTTCCGTAAAAACAAATTAATAGTTAATGAAAAGAAAACTGTTTCAATGCATTTTTCCATTTCAAATAAACAGCTCTGCACTTCACTAAAAATGAACGGTGTGCTGCTGACTATGTTAAGGTAACGAAATTTTTAGGTCTTTCAATTCAGTCAAACTTTAAATGGAACGTCCATTTAAATGAATTAAACACATTTGAAATTAAGTTCTTTATGCTACGCTTTCAAATTCTTTCAAATTCAGGCAGCTTACACACTTCTCATTGTGTATATTTCCGAATGTTCATTCCCGCCTGAGATATGGCATAATACTCTGGGGAAATACATATAACTCCCAGACTTTTAGATTACAAAAAAAGAATTATACGAATTATAAGCAAATCCTACTCATGTGATTCTTGTAAGCCTCTCTTTATTAACCTAGGTATTTTACCATTACCTTGTCTCTTCATATATGAATCGGTGTTTTTTGTTAAAAATGACTTACTTAAGGGCGGGAATATATTTTCAGCAAATGTCGTTGCCTGTAACTACAACACTCGACGTAGTAATCATATTTATCTGGCGTCAGTATCAACAGCTCACAACAAAAAATGCACGTATAATAAATGTACATTATTTTACAACACATTGCCAGATGATTTTAAATGATTAAATTCGATACAAAAGTTTGTCCCAAGTAAAATATTTTCTGCTGCACAACTGTTTCTATACAATTAGAGACTATACCGAGCATCGAAAAGGAAAGTAATTTTAATTTTAACAATGATATTTAATGTATTATATACCCTTTGCATTGAATAATTGTAAAGTACCTGTAACAAGTATTGTACTTCAGCTTCTGGGTCAATGACCCCATGTCGATCAGGTTTTCGGCCAATTTCCCTGATCCTCGAGCACATGCTGAGACAGCCCCTTGTTTTGCTTCTAGACATAAACGTAACTTCAAATTAACTTCTCCCCATAGCACGTCAAACACAGTTTTAACTGTTTTTGGTGTAAATAAAGAAATATAATATATATTAATAATTATGATCTGAAACCCAAAGAATTTGGCAGTTTTTTAGTCCTTTCAGAGGAATCTGTTCTGTAATTGATAATACACGATTTATGGGACTTGATTTTATTATCAGTTTATATACCGCCTTCAGGAAGATTAAGTTGTTGAGAGTATTTTACTCTATTCTTACAAGAAATTTAAGGAGAAAAAACTGGAGCAGTTTCTGAGAAAATTTTGAAAATGTCCGGAGGGCGTCATGTAAAGTACCCCCAAATTTTGAAGACTGCTTTTCAAAAATCTCAAAGTTTCGATACGAGCCACATGGATAGGAGTTTCTTCAACGGAAAAAATCCTAATTCGTACAAATCGTAATTCTTTTAGAAATCTCCAAGTTTACCTAATACCTTATTTTCTAGGAGTCCTTTCTAATATCAACCACTCATTTTTCAGGTACGAACGCTATGTACTAAGCTTTCTTTGGCTGCGGCAACTCAAGTGCATAGTTATCATCACTAATGGTAGTTAAAAGCACATGTATTTGCCTTTCGATTTGGATTGTTTACAATATATATCGATAATTTACCGCTGACTCCCATTACCCACGCTTCCCCAACTCTTAATGTCTCGATGGGACGTAGAATATTCAACCACACACTAGGCAACAACATATTTGGCGCTCTGATCTGGAGTCAACAGAACGTGACATGTACAGTATATACACATACAGACAACAATGCCCAAGGTCGGTCTCGAACTCACGACCCTTCGAACAGAAGCGCTGAGTCGGTACACGCTCGTAACCACCTCGGCCCTCTGGAATTAACCACCATATTTTCTACCATGAATGAGAGAGAAATTCAATAGCGAAGCTACTGACTTGGCCGCGTGGCCATGAAGCATCTTGACACATACAGCACTATTGAACCTCTGCGCATGCGCAACTCGATTTTCCACATTTCTCAGAATAGTCTGTTTTGGGCCTTTATAAAAAAGTTTAATTCGTTTTCACTGCATTTATGTAACATCATTGCATAATTCGAATATTTAAAATGTCGGTCAATAGTTTTTAGATTTTTTTCTGTGTCATGCCGCTTGTGTAGTAATGAGATCAATTGTCTTTTTCTCACCCCAAATGAATCGTTGAAACGTTGGTTGGTCGAAACGCGAAACTGTTATTTTGTTTCGGAAAGTTGGTGATGCTTTTGACCGACTGCGGTGCAATAGTTGGCATTGTGCAGCAGCGTCGAGCAGCATTTGTCTCTGCTTTTGGCCATCTGTTATTTACATTAAATACTCGGTTAAACTTTTAGGATATTTAAAGAGACGAGCCAAGAAATTTCTGTAATGACTGCTACACGTGTTCCCCCGAAAAGATACAAGTGGGCGTTAGACTCAACAACTCGGTGAGTGAAACCATTCAAGCTCAAATGAGGTTCAATGTGTACATCTAACCTCTGCATTACAATTAATATTGACTATTTTTAGCATTTACTTAATAATGACTTTTAATTTCGTGGTTTTCTTATTAAGTCAAAACTAAAATAGAATTGTAGAATTAATTAATCTCCACCAAATGTTCCAGTGGTAAACCAGATCGCAGTTCTGATTTGGCATCGCCTCCAGGATATAATCCATCAGCAGGGCAAGTTTACACAGAAGTTACTAGAGAATCTGATCCCAACCATTTAATCATTAAAAAATCTTGGGAACTTGCCCTTGGTCCTTTGAAACAGGTATGTTTTGAGCTTCATTTTGCCAAGTAGAATCCATAGTGGAATATGGTATTGTATTATATATACATTTGTATGGTATTGTCCATAGGTTCCCATGAATCTGTTCATCATGTATATGGCTGGAAATTCAATCTCTATATTCCCAATTATGATGGTTGGAATGTTGATCATTCGACCTGTGAAGGCCTTATTCACCATGCAAAACAGTAAGTATTTTTATTTTAAATATAGATATGATGCAAATTTTTTATGATTGCTTCCTGGTCACATTGGAGAATTTTAAATATTTGTGAGGCAATTGTGTTTAATTTCATAGTTTAACTAGTTCCTCTTAAAATGTAAGTTAGACCTTATTTACAATTTATTTATACATGAATTTGTGTTGCCAAGATGTTGATTGTTACACATCTGGATTAATATTTTCCCAAATGGTGCAAGAAAATTTTTTTATATCTTTATTTGCTGAATTTGAGCTTGACATAATTACAGAGATACCACACTGATAACAGGTTCACCAATAAGTAAAAATATGAAGAGGGAGGGGGGAAACTATATTTCAATTAAAATACATTAGAGGTGTACGTAAATAGAAAATAACAATTACTATCCTCCATGTATTGTACAACTTATTGATTCCTAAGGATCATTTCAGAAGTATTGGAGTGAAATGTATAGCACTTTTAATGTTGAAAATATTGTTCACTATTTTTTGGATGTGATGAGTTCATCTCTTAAGTACTTAAAAGAGAAGTCTTTGAAGAAACACTACAAACGAATGAAAAGTCAAACTTTAGCCATTTTGTGGAAGATTTAATTGTTTTTAAACAAATATAATTGTTCAGATTGAAAAGTAACTCTCAAGTAATCTTTAAAGCTTTAAATATTGGTTGCGGGTAAAATGTTATTTGAATTAAAACTAAATATATGGAAAACAATCTCTAAATAAGAGTTGCATTAATCTGCATCTCTAGATTTCTTTGGCAGGCATCACTTTAATCTTTCTCTAAACATTGTCATATGTAAGAAAAGTATTTGCTTAAAATTTGAGAAGTTGTATTATATCTTTAATGCAAGTGTACTTGCAAACAATTTTGTACTAAAGTTGTCTAATAATTATGAGAACTTTTTACATTAGTAAATACTATTGAATAAATAGTATTTGTAAAACTGCATGGAAGAATAGCTTGACCATTATTGGACTGTAGACTTATTTTAAATATAGTGATGCAAGCTTTCTTCCTAGTTAAGATTATGCTAAATGTGTGTTCATATTCATTATGTGTAAGAGTTAAATTTTACTGTGATGTAAGAATTGTTTAAATTTAATTTCATATTAAGCTTGTATTTGAAAACAAAACCAGTAGCACAAAACAAACACACTTGCTTAAGATAGTGTACTTGAATACTAGAACATATATCATTTCATTCATGTAGATGTTTTTACATTACATTTGTCTCTCATGCATAACTCTATTGCAGCATTCAAGATGATTGAAGGAAGCCATGCAGCAGGACAGAAGTTTGTGTACTTTTTGGGTAACATCGTCAGTGTTGCTTTGGCTTTATATAAATGCCATTCCATGGGGCTACTGCCCTCTCATTCTTCTGATTGGCTTGCTTTTGTAGAACCACAGATGAGAATGGAGTATTCAGGTGGTGGTATGAGCTTGATCTGAATGTCCAGAAACAAGGTGGCCAAAGAAAGCTTTTTCAATACTGGTTGTGTATATTTGTACAGTTTTTAAAGGTTCACAAATTCCCTTTGCACTTCTATCAGTCTTCTAAAGATGAAATAAGCATGCCATTAAATAACATTTCTGAATAGTTAACCAAGGATTAAATGTAAAAATTGTATAAAAAATTGTAAATTAAACTACACATAACTAATTGGCAAGTTCATTATTGGTCTTCTGGAATTACACTTAACCTGTAGCGTCATCTTGATGGAAGTTGAAACCTAAAAAACCATGAACAATCTGTACAATCAAACTTGAATATTCAACGACCTTAATTATATACAAATTTTACTATTTATCTCCCAAGATGTTTGAAGTGTGTTACATCAGCTTGCAAGTTGAATGATGTACAAATTGGAGTAAAATTATTTTTACAGAAGTGTACTAGTGGATCATTCCCGAAACCACACTATGTATTAGAATAAAAAGTATATTTGTAAGTATATATATATTACATGTTCCAAGTATTTCCAATATATGTGAATAAAGGACCAAATGTGATTTTTGTTTTTTAACTGTGATAACCTTATAGCCCTAATTTCCTATGATTTTTTCACAAACAATTTCTATTTGTTTCATATTTATAAAGCAGACAAACAAATACCTGTTATCTATGCATCTTGTATTCTCAGATTTTATTTCACTTGTCCTTTTTATGTTGATCTGCAAATTCCTTGAATTTTTCCCAGAGTTTCCCAGGGTCATCAACTCTTGGAATCTGAAAATTGAAAACTACTGCCTGACAGATGTTAACAACAAAAAAGACACTGCCAGAGAAAAAAATAACTTAGAATTTACCCTATTAAAGCTTGACACATTACAAATTATTCACAGTGTAATTTTCATAAATCAATGAATTTGTTATTTCCAGGAAACAGATCAATAGAATAATTTTGTTTCTTCCTGAAAATCTAACACGAGATTGAACACACTGTGTTGTACGAAATATATACAAAATCTTGCTTACCTCATAGTTCTGGCTGATATAAATTCCTGCGTACACTCCAGCTCCAAATGTAATCTGAAAAAAATTGCATTATCAATGCTTTACAGTAGTTCTTAAATCTACTTTTCAAATATCAGAGATGTTAAATTCATGCCAAGTACTTTTGCTTACAGTCTACTTTAAAATGATAACATTTCATTGTCATGCATATCATAAAGGAAAATTAGAAAAACTATATTAATTTTTTTACGACTAAAACACGTTGCTTACAGCTCCACCTACTAAGAGGTGTAAGAATATGAAGATAATTAAAAGCGAATTATACAAAAATGTTAATAATCCCATGGTTTTCCATTTGAAGTAAATACGACGGAGATGCCACACCAATGAGAGCTTCGAGAGCTTAGTTTATTTTCGGATTTGGCTGCGTTTTAAATAGATCGCTATTAACCTGATCAACACGACACGGCAGAATAAATATAGTATTTAATTTTTCACGCACCACTGACACTTACCAAGAACTTGATCATTATTGACTGAAGAGTTCTCTTTTCTGGGTTTTCTCTCTCTGAACGAATATCTTAGGCTATCAACACGAATTGTTTAAGATAGATGCACAGTGACAAGCGGCATTCCGACATTACACTGCATCAGCTGACGTCTCCGTATGGTCCTTGTCCCCTCCCGCCTTGGAAGTCACGGTCACCCTTCTCAGCGATGGCAACTCACGGCTCGTTTGATCATTGCATTAGCAATTGTTTTTCATGAATACGGGCTCTGGTGCACACATTGACAGGCAGAGAGTTGACAGGGATGCTGTCAGGATGCTGTTGAGTGAAGAAAATGACAGGACTTGAATAACAAATATCATCTCCACCGAAAATATTACAAATAATAAGCGTGTTTGCTGGTTAGTTCAGATAACTCGTATGATTGTTCACGTGTAAAATGAGTGCGCATTAATTGTTATTGAAGATCAAGGACAAATTATCACCTTTTACGATCTTGTTTAGTTCCAGAATCTCTTCAGGAGTGTGTTCGATTGAATTATGTAACGTGCGATACATTTCTGAGCAATACTTTCGAAACTTACGAACGCACCGTGGAACACAGTTTGTGTCAATGGAAAAATTGTTCCACAAAAGATGGTGCGTAAGATCACTGTACATTGCACGGCACTGGATGTCGATGGTAAATAATGCTATACGGATGCTTTTACCACACATTACATTTTTATTTCAGGCTGATCAAAAGTTGTTTCAGTCTCGGAAGTGCCAATGCATTGAATATTTATCGATGCCTCAGTTCTGCAGAAGTTTCCACTGCATTGAGACCGTTTTACTTCTCAGTTCATCCTGATCTTTTTGGCCAATATCCTGACGAGAGGGTTTGTTTCATTAATTTTGTGAGTTAAAGGTAATTTGAGTATGTGAAAGGATTTTTAATATTACTTTTTTCATTTGATTGTAGATAATAAATGAAAATTCACTGAAACAGCTAAGTTCTTACATTGAAACACTCCAACAGAGAAGACCAGCAAGGCCAACATCTGTTACTTTCTACCTTCGAAGTCGTTCTAATGGCACAAATGTGTCCAAGAAAGGTAATTAATTTTACTTTTCCCTTTGTCTTCATGTTTCTGACCAGGTCATCAGGTTTCTGACCTTCAATAAATTGACTTTGTTTTCAGGTTCATTCCGCTCTGTAAAAATTGACCTTAAGCAAAGAGATCTCAGAAAAACAGTACTGTCAATTTTAAAATCTTGCGATTTACCAACAACATATGTAGATAATATTGCTCCTGCCCCAAAACAAGAACCTTCTTTTGGGCTGGAAATCAGGAAACCAAAATTTGATGAAAATGATCCTATTTTTGGGGCTGCTATCTTGAGGCGAGAAGTAAAGCAAAGGAAGGATGGTGAAAAATTGTCGTAAGTGTTCTGTTTATAGTAAATGTAAATTCAAAAACATCAGGCAAAAGTTTACATGTGTCTGAGAAAGGTAATCAATTTTCCCTTTTCCTTCGTCTTCATGTTTCTAACCTGGCAATTCATCAATGAATTGACTATGTTAACATCGATGTATGTTAATGTGGACTGTGGAAGACAGTGTTAATCAAGTTAATATAGAGAATGTCAGCACAATTATTCATTGTTCATATTTGTAGGTTCTCAGCTTGATTTTTAAGGCTAGACATCCCTGAGTTGGCCCTCGTAGCAGAAGGTCCAAAAGCAGTAAATTAACTGTCAATATTTTATTTTGGGATATGGGCATTTTTTTTTTTTTTTAGAAAGATGTTATGATAAGTTGGAATATGGTATTTTTAATTATTGTTGGTTTCTTATTATTTGGCCTGGTTTTTATGAGCAAAGCAAGTTTGTAATATTTTTTCCAAACACATATTTGAATTTTCAGGGTTTTTATTAAAAAATTTCATTTGATTCTAATGGAGAATTCTGTACTCATAGGAAGTTGTTTAAACCAGGAGATCGTGTCACTGCTGTGAAGAGAAATAATGCTATTGTGGAGTGAGAATTATTTATTTTTGAATGAAATTCTGACAATTTGGCATGCTCTATAATTGTCAACATATGATTGTTTGAAGTAGTAAGTTACATTTCCACTGTTACTCATTTCAATATTGTTTTTATCTTATTCGAACAGTGAGTGACCCGTTGAGTAGTGGACAGGCCACTTGCCTTCTAACTAAGGTCACCAGTGTATAAATCCCAGTCAGTCCATGTGGTCTGTGTCAAATTAGTTTATTAAGAGGTTTTTAGTTTGACCAAGTTATGGGCTCCTTTAAGAAAATTATGATGTAGAAAACACAAATTAATAACAAAATAAAACATACCCTGTGAAATTTAAAATATTAAATGTATGTATTGTGCAGAGAGATTAAATTAAATGATTGATTAAATAATTGATTAAATTTGCTTTGAGAATGGGACTTGGTAGTGATTCTCTAGTACTTGTGAAGTTTGTGCTATTTGCTAGCACACATACATTTTGTTACAAATTTACATTGAAACCAAATTTTATAGTTAAAATTATCCTGCATAAGTGGTTTATCTCATGGACATTATTGTATATCCTACAAAACTATAATTATCCAACAGGGTGACAGCACAGTTTGTCAGGCACAGGGAAAGCAACTGTGGAGGTAAAGTCAGGTGTGCGTGGAGGGGGAGGGTATTCTTTTGATGATCAAGGTTATGTCTGTGTTATGTCTGCCATATCCTATGTGTGTTCATTGATTAGTTTTATGGAAAGTTTAATGAGATGTTTGTATAGTGAAATGCAGTGAATCGATAAGATGATATATTAATTGTTTTGGGATCCTTTTTTATTGAAAGAGTAACATGTGAATATAACTCATTAATTTAAAAAATTTGAGAAGAAATTGAACCACCATGTCGAAAAAAAATCCATCACATTATTTAGCAAATATAAACATTTGCTTTATATGGGATTATTTGAAATGTAAAGCTTTTCCCTTATCAAATTTTTTCATTGACATCATTTTTTCATAAGAAGACAAAGTATTGTGATTGAGCACTGGAAAATAGTAATTTTTTTACAGAAATATTGTAATTGTTGGGCCCTGGTAATGAAAAAGGGGATAAATCATGTTCCTATGAATAGTAAATTATTACCTCTAACACTCGGTCTAGACAGAATTCATGTTTTGTTGGTCTTTGAAACTGAAAAATTGATTGACAGTAAAATATCTGTCCCTCATCCATGTTTAACTCTAGCGCTTAAACTGTACAGCCAATTTTCTCCAAAACTCATATTCCCTGATCGATCTGAATGAACTTAACACTTTGTGAGTTTGAAACTGGTATTATGATTTTTGATGGTACTTTTACATGACCTCCCAACAACATTGTCAAAATATTGTAAAAAGTGGCACTAATTTTCTTTATTAAACTTTGCCCTCACATAGCATACAGTACACGAAAGAGAATGGAACAGGTTTCATTTTCCTTAAAATCACTGATTTTTTGGAAAATTGCAAAAGTTCAATTTTTTTCAGTATCCTCCTACAATTACATTTAAGGTACATATATTTTTCAAAGTACTCAAAATTTTCCTATAAATTTTCTCCTAATACGTATCAAACGACGGTAAAAATATGTGCTTTTCGGTAAACTCTTTGTGTTTTTGAAAATTGCAAAAAGTTAACATTTCAAAACTGCAATATTGAAAAGGATTTTTTGCCTTAAGCAAAATCTGTACTGAAATGGCTAAGTACAATTTTTTGAAAAAATTTGTATTGTCACATAATTTGTAGTTAACATTAATGCTAATTATAAAAACTTTTCCCCCTAAAACGTTCCAATTTTTTAAAAAAATTCTCTCTGAATTTTTGAAAATTGCATATTGGTAGTATTGGGTTGAGACAATGGAATTTTTAAGCATCAGCCTTTGTTGGAATGTCAGAGCAGTTCCTTGGCATAGAGGTAGGGCACATAGCGAGTTATCGTGGAGGGCTTGAGTTGGAGTTTCAGTGTGCAGAAAAATTTTTATACTGATTGAAACACTTTTGCATATTCATGTTGTAGTATATTATTCTGTAGCAATTACAAACAGTGTTAGAAAGTACATGCTATACACCACAAGCCTGTTTGTGCATATGTATGAATCTCTCTACCTCTATATATAATTTTTTCTCCCCCCCCCCCTCCTCCATTCTTCTCTAATCCACATGTTTTGTTGCTCACTATCATTGCTTCTTTCATGGATTCCCAGTCTCTCTCAATGTTCTCTTTCCCTACAAGTTGCAGTTTTTCCTTGAAACATATCTATATAATGATTACATTAGTTTACAAAGTTTAAAAGAATATGTCTTCTGATACATGTGAAAAAGAAGGTGATATGATTAACATTGAGAGATTCTGTTAGATTAGTATTTTTGTCTGCAGGAACTTTTGATGATCAGTGGCTCTGGCTGCAGGGTGTGGTTGGAGAAGAACGTGGAACAGGCTCGGATGAAACTCGCTGCATGTCAGCCCGTGCGAGAAGAAATTATCCGGCTTCAGATAACTTTGCAAGATGCTCTTGGGGTGCAGCGGGTTCTGTGGGACTGTGGATGGAACGTGACTCATTTCAGGGGTTGCCTGCAAAGCTTTCAAGCATTGGCTCGACATCATCCTGATGTTATGCATGTTTTGAAAGGTAAATATAATTCTTAATCTTATTTATTGCAATGGAGTTTGTTTCTTTGCGAGTTTGAGGTGCAGACTGTGTGTTGATAAGAAGAAATTTTTTATTTAATTATTTAAAGCAATTGCCAAATTTTACACATCATTTTTCAATTATTATTATTTTACATAAAACATATTTAGAATATGACTAATTATGTAATTACTTTAGTCAATGTTACTATAAATATCTAGCAAAATCATTCAATATCACGTTTTGCGCTTTCAATGTAAAGTTATTTTGGTTATAAGAAGATCTATGTCGATTAAAAACAATGAAATCTATATGTTCATTGAATTTTAGTTTTTGGTCACAAAAAAAAAGGCCCAGATGTTTAATTTTCATGGCAGTTTCTAATTCTTGCCCGTTCATCAAATACGAGGATTTAATTGGATTTCTAGACTTCGCATATCTCATGATTTTATATTTTTGGATATTCAGGACAAGTTTATTTTTACACCATCAAAGTTACACATTCAGGTTTTCTTGAAGAATTTTACAATTGTCTCTTGATTTTATTTCCAAAAGTAAGTTTAAATTGTCTGTAAAAAGGAAGAAAGAACATAGTGGCAGAGCCGATTTAGTATCATTTATGTATAGTAAAAATAATAATGGTCTCAAATGTGAGTCTTGAGGAACTCATGATGATGTTACAATATCATTTGAGTTAAAACTTATATTTCACATTTTTAATTCTACCAGTCAGATAACTTGTGATCCCTTTCAACAATAATCTATTAATTCCAATATATTCAAGTTTCTTTAATAAAATTTCATGGTTTACAGTATCAAAAGCTTTTGTAAAATCTGTACATGTCACATCAGATTGTGAGTTTGACATAAAATTTTTAAGAATATAACTTTGTAGAATCAATAGATTAGTAGTTCTTGATCTTTTCTTTTTAAAACTGTGTTGTTCATTTAATAATATTGAGTTTATTTTCGAAGTCTGAATGTGTGTTATTCAAGATTTGAATATTTTTGGAATTATACTAAATTTCGAGATTGGTCTATAATTATCAATTTTTCATCTGTCATTTATTTAAAAATTGGTGTAATATAACTTCTCAATATCATTGGAAATACTCATTCCTCTAATGATTTAATGAATAAGGCATGAAGAATTGGTACAATGTTCACGTAAAAATTTTTTAAAATACAGTGGTATATTATAGGATCTGAACCTGTTCTTCAATCAAGTTTCTTTATTTCATTAAATACATCCATTTGAGATACTTGAATGTTCCCAATGTTTATCATTGAATTTACATAATGAATTTCAATTTCATGATCAATACATTAAAGAGATTTGAAATAATCAGGAAATAAGTTTACAATTTCATCACCTGTATCAGCCTTCATTTCATTCAAATAATCTAATTTGGCAAACCATTTCTTCCGTTCCAAGAGTTTGTAAATTTCAAAAAAAAAAAAATTATGAGGGCAAAAAAATTAAAGAATATAGGGGTGTTCACTAGTAGTTCAGATTTTAAGAGCGCATTCTTGCCAAACAATCAGTTAGAAATTTTTAATATTATACCTTGACGATGTAGGTATCACTGACAACAATATCCCAAAATATTTTTTTAAATTTGAAGGTATGATGTCATTCCATGCAAAATCTACTTTTTTCCATGGAATGACCCTATTACCATTTATATAATAATAGTTCACATTTTAATTAAAGAATGGTAAATTTATAATCCTTTTTTATTGTATACTTTATAATAATTTTGAAAAATAATGTACCAAATAATGTATGTATTTTAGTTGAAACACATTTTTTAAGAAATTGTTCATACTTTGCATTTTATACCTATTGCCATTCTTCATTCAACAAAACTGTTACTCTCATTTGCAGGTAGAACCCTGATGTTTGGAAACGACACTGGTGTTAGCATGGATGGCCATGTTATGCTCAACAGTGGAGAAGTGAGACATAATTGGCTTGATGTAAGTTTCTAGTTGAAAGATTAAGTAGTATTAATGAATGAAGTAGATTTATTGAACTAATCTAGCTGAAGTAACCTGCTGTTATTTAGATATTGTATTAATATAAGACAAGTTTTTGACCTGAAAAACCTCATTTGAAAAATATGGGGTCATTTTATATTTGGAGATTATCCCAGTTGGATAGGATCTTTTATTTTTTCACTGCCTTTTCACGCCAAAAAGAAACTCAAATGCTGATGATACAGTAAGCTGCAAAAGTAATTAATATCATGCCTACCTATAATGTGTAATTGTATCGCAGACATATTGTCGGCTTCCACCGGCACGCCAGAATTTGCCAGCGATTCAGACCAATAGTTTTGAATGGACCGTTAGAGAGAGGAAAATGAATTGAACAAGTGGCTTTGTAATAAGTGAAATGCAATGGGAAAATCAACAAAAACGTTGCTGATATTTTGTTACAAGAACAACAAGGCTGCCTGAACTCTCAGTTCGATGCCCTGCAAATGCAAATTGAAGTTAGTTTGCGTGTAGAAAATTACTTCCTCAAACATGTGTAGTCACAATCCACGTTTTGTGGGTTCTTGATGCCGTTTGACGACAAAACACGTGCCAATCTGTCCATCCAAGGTCAACTCTAGTACTTAAAGTATTCAGATGGTTTTCTCCAAAGTTGATAGTCTGTGATAAGTCTGAACAAATTCCTGAATTTTCTAGAATTTGTAAAAATTCAAAATTTTTTCAATGTCTTCCTAAAACTATAATATTGAAGATAATGAAGGCCATGTACAATTTTTTTAAAAGTATTAGTAGTTTTCTAGTAAGTTTTTCTTTCTTGTATATGTATGTATATAAAGAGTAATATACATAGTATATAGAAAGATATATAATGCTGTGAAAAATCGATTTCAAGGGAAATACACGTTTTGGTGTCCCCTGATACCGGAAATTTGTTTTTCAAAACGTCGTCTGTCTGTCCCTCTGTGTAAATACAATTAGCACCTGAACTATAAGCAGGAATTTTCCAAATTGGAGAAACTCCTGTCCATCTGGCTAGAGTTGTTGTTTTGGACTTTTAAAAATCTTTCTTTAAAATTTGGTGGTACTTTACATGAAGCCCCTGGAACATTTTCAAAATTTTCTCAAAAACGGCGCCAAATTTTCTCTGTAAATTTCTTCAAAGAGTAGAGTAAAATACACTTATAATGGTGCCATAGGTCAGATTTTCACAGTTAACTCTGAATTGTTGAAAATTGCAACAGTTTGAATTTTTTCACCATCTACATACGACTACAAAATTAAAGATAGAGATTTTTCCTTCCAATGTAATTTGTTGTCCATAATTAAGTTTTCTTCCATTAAGTTCATCTACATGTTCATTTTGTTTTACATTTTTCTGTCGTTTGCCCCCGAAGAGGTGTACTACGAGCATTTTGTCCATACTGAACAAAAAACATTTGCCATTCTTGGAAATACTGCACAGATCTCCCATATTATTAGTAGCTGAGAAACTGAGCTTTACATTGTCATGGCTATGATGTTCCCAGTAGCCCTTCTCCAGTGTTGCGAAGACCGTTGTAGAAGGCATTCTGTTTTTTAACTGCCTTGCGTGCAGAGTTTTTCTAGTAGGGCGAGAATGGATGTCATTTTTTATCAAATAATTTTAATTTTTTAAAGTACTTTTTTAAAACATTAAAAAATATTTTATGATTTATAATATTAAATGTTTTTATTAAACTTATGTATTGTGCAGTAATTATTTATTCATTCTACAATATAATTTCAAAATGATTATGATTTCTTTGAAAGAGAAGAATTGTGAATTGGATCTAGTGTGGCTAGATGAAGTCATACTTGCATCATTACAAGGACAAAATACAGGAGAACATCAAAAACCTACAATTGTGACATTTTACTGTTCTACAGTTCTGTTCATTGACAAACAGTAGGCTAAGATTTGAAGGCGTTTATGAACAGATGTGACTGTAGGAGTTCAGCTTTGAAAGACGAAACTTTGTAAGGATTTCGAAATGTTCTAAGAACAGAAGTCATAAACAATGAAACAGTAACCCCTTACCTAAAGAAAGGTAGAGGAAAAAACTATGCTAGGACCTGTCATTGATGACCACCCCCACCCTTATTGGTATGCAACTGTTTAAACTGAAAATCACACTTACAACAACTGCTACTTTCAAAATAAGTGTTGATTTTGAGAATAAAATATAAGAGTAGGTTGCTAACCAAACTTCATGAATTCATGTTACAATGGTGGCTTAGATGGTTGCAAAGTAAGCAATAAGTTTTTTTCCCTTTAAACTAAATCAGTTAGAACACTGAACTTTTTTATCTAATTCCAAGATGTTTTCTAAAAATTTGTGACAAACCCCTGAAATCTAGCTACAATTGGTTTAGGGGCTTTTTAAATAATTTCAAAATAATTATTTTCTTTTTCAGCTGATTAAAAATGTACACAAGCATGATATAGTTCTATTAAGAATACCTTCATTTGAGAAAGCAGTGTCACGAGTTTTACGAGACATAAGAGTGGTTCGTAGGTAAGTGAAAGCAGCAGTTTTTTTTCTGTTCATGGCTGGATGACTTGGTTTTGTTAAGTGAAAAGAAATTACTTTTTATTCTTAATATTTTCATATTAGACTTTGGCTGTACCAAAATTTACACGTTTGCCAATAATTTGTGTTTTCTGAATAGGAAATTTCAACCTAAAGTGATGGCCAAACACTATGAAAATCATCTCCGGCGACTTACAACTTCTCTCAGCGATCACCAAGGGCGATTTGGGTATCCTCGAGAGTGGCCAGAAAAGCTTGATAAGTTCGAGTTAGTCGTTGAAACGTAAGATCATACTCTTAGAAGTGTATTTCACTTGATATGTGTTTAGCAGTGTAGTAGCTCATTTTGTTTCCTTTAAACAGGGAGGCTGGGCCATTAATGGTGTCTCCAACTGGTCAATTTATTGTGCCTGCATCTTGTCCTGGCTCGTTAGTTGTGAGTTTTATTGATGGCAACATGGAAGAAGCGACATCACTTCTGCTTCGTTATAAAAGGTAAACATGATAATAGATTGTTTTAAGTTACCCTTTTTAATGTTCACTTTTTTCACAAAATGAAAATAAACTTGATCCATTCTCTCCTCAGTCTTCTGTTAGTTGGCCAATCTTAGCTTAGATGCATTGTCAAGTGTTACAATTTTTTTTTACTGTAATAAGAGAGTAAAAATTTACTTGACTGTTGTTAAGATATTAGTTTATGCAATCGTAGGCTTCTGTGGCCAGTGTCATGTGAAACTGAGGCTCTCGGCTGTTCAAGTGACACCTTGTCCAGAGCATTGATTCCGACGTTTCAATCATCTTATCTGATCTTCTTCAGGGCTGGAATGCACTAGGACCGCGGACGCTTGGAAGTCCCTATAAGGCCATATTACGTTCAAATGCTAAAGACATAGGTGACCAATAAGTGAGAATGTTTACATTATTGCAGAGGAGCCCATGGAATTATGTTGAATTAAATATTCAGGTTGTTGACTTTCCTTTGTTTAGGTGATTCAACAGACCATTTTGAAAAGTCAGACTAAACTACAGTATGTGAAAATATGGGTGGTAGTGTCATCCTTCCAATGGGACAGCTTTGCATTATGTTCACCAATATTGCATGATAAAAATTTGGTGTGTTTAAAGGAAATATTGGAACTCAAGTGAATCAATTTTTTATAATGAATATTATTGGCATTAATGATTCATAATGCAATTTAGGCCTATGTCACACAAGTGTTGTGATGATGTGCCTTACACAGCATTGATGACTTCAGCTGCGTTGATGCACACTGATGCCTCCGCACACGAGTGTCTTAATGCACCTAGGTTAAGACTGTCTTATGCCAAATAGCACACAAGCACTCTTGAGCATCTTGCTTGAGGTATGGGCACAACCCACATTGCCCAGACCATTCCTGTACCGTTTCACGTAAGATACAATGTGGCGAACGAATACAATAATGATGAACTCATTGGGGTTTTCTGTTCCATCAGTATGCTTTTTATCATTGTGTATTATCTGTATAGTGTTAATAGATTGTACATATATGTCAATGCCAAGAATTAATCCTTGAGGCAGTCTTGTGTTAATTTATTACAGTTCTGAATACTCCGGAATAAGCCTGTTCCTATTGCATAACTGAGTTATTTCTACAAATTGTATTCTTCTGTTAAAAAATGGCTGTAACCATTTTAGTAGAATCCCCTGCATACTCAGTCTTGATTTACGAGATCAAAAGCGTTGGGTAGATCAGGGAAAATACCAATAAATTTCTTTCTGCAGACTAGTTTCTTATTGAGATCTCCAATTCTCTATAAGACATTCTTTGTCAAAACGGTCAACAAACTATCGGAAGGATATTTTGCAACAAAGGTTTGGAAATCGTGCAAATAATTATATTTTCTGATTCAGCATTATATAAAAACAAGGGAAAAAATTTGTGAATTTTTTTGAGCATTGTTTTTTATCTCAAAATAATTCCATTTTTAATAATTTTAAAAATTTGTTTGGTATTGTTGCTTAACAAATTTATTGCACACTAAAATTGTATGCATAAAGTAAGTAATTTGCCATTTCCTGGCAAACATACAATCTAAAATAAATTTGATTTTTATTTCCATTAAATTACACTCATTGCAGTAAATTTCTAAATATTTCGAAATTTGAAATTTTTTAGGTTTATTCGTACTATTACAAAATTGAAGGTAGGTTTTGTCCCTTCAAGTAAAATGCAGGTAAAGCTGAATATTAAAAAATGAGAAAATAATTGTTATAGACCAATCTGTTTCCCAATAAAAAAATTATTTTGTGAACACCTTTTTCATTACACATTTGGCAATGAAATTGATTGTTCTGCATCCTTACAGATAATCAAGGATGAAATTTTGTAGGCATAAAGTAGAAGTATATGTATATTAGAGTATTTTGATTTTTGAAAATGAATTGATGATGATGGTAAATGAAAAGATGATGACCTAATTTAACAATTGATTTTTAAGATTTTAAACACCCCCCATGACCTTTCAATGACCCTGAAAAAAATTTTGTAAATTTTTTTTCTGTTTCTTGATGTCAGTAGATAGTGTTAAAAATAGATTAAACAAAAATTTATGTATAATGTCTCTATTTGGAATTTTGTCATGAAACAACACCAGAATAATTTTTTAAATAGTTAAAAATACTATTTGTAGATAAAAAAATAATGATCCAAAAAATTCACAAGTTTTGTTTTTATATTGTGCAGAGTCCAATAATATTATTATTTGTGTGATTTATGAACCTTCGATATTTTGTCCCCTACTGCTGTTTGGTTGATCGACCTTTAAAGAAATCATGTTGAGCTTTGATTGCATTAAATTAATCAAAACTGTACTACTTCATGAATGTGATAATATGAAATCTTATTTTTAAACTGTGGTTATAATTTGTCTGGGATTCCTGTGAAATAGTTATTAATTTGTTTTGCTCTCAGCAATAAACATGTGGAACGAGATTTGGTTCAGCAGTGTGTGGATGAATTTCAACTGGCAGCTTTGCATAAAGATGATAACATCACTCCTGAATTGATGATTGCCTGCTGCAAACAGATGCTGCAGCACCAAGAACAACTGAGGAAGAACTTGCTCAACACACGTATTTGGGTTACAAATTATTACTCTGTTCTTTCTGATGGTGAAATGTGTATCCCATGGAACTGGAAACTTTAATTATTTTTGTTAAACTTGCAATTTGGTCCCAATAGTTGTTAATTTCTGAACGAAAATATCTTTTTTACATTTCACATTTTCTTTCACTTGTTTCATTAAAATTTTATGCATTTGATGCAAAAAACAAATGTTAGTAATTACAGCAAAAAATGTGACAAGTTTTTTATGGGTTTTAAAAAATATTTGAATTTTTATTTATTGCATATAATTTCAGATGTGCCATCAATAAATGAATGTTAGGTATACGTTGAATGTATTGTGTTCATTCAAAATTGTACTTTTGTGCACATGGAAATGTGCAAACATTTATGTAAGTGATGCGAGATAAATGAATTTAATTACGAGGTCACTTTTTAAAAAATTGTTCTTAAATTAGACCTTGTCTCCAAAAGCTGGCCTATTTTGCATGGCTTTGTATTCTTTAATTACCATAGAAATGCTTTTGAGTTTTATAAATTGGTAATGAAATCGTAAATGAAAACGATTGTTTATGAATTAAATAATGAAAATAGAATATTTGGAAAGGAAAGTGTCCTTAAAAGATGATCTTGTAGGGGAATAAATACAATTTTTTAATATATTATTTTGTGTAGAGGATCTGGCGATTAGTTCTCAACATTCTCCACTCAATTGAAAAGAGCTGCTCAATTGTAATTTTATTTATTTTTATTAATTATAGGAAATGATTCTGCCATTTATTTATAGAAAAGTCCAATCACTTGTTTGATGGTAGGTTAGTGACACACATGCCAAAAAATAATGTTCATTAACTTTAAAACTGCAAATATGGAACAGCAGGCATTGGAGAATTCTCTCATTGAAATGCCCAAATAAAATAAGTAGAATGAAACATATTGCCAACAAGGATATTCTTGCTGAGATTTTGATGATTGTGAACCTTTATCCCAAACGAGGTCTTGATGTAATTTAAAAAAAAAAAATTTATTTTCTAATCAAGATATATAAAGTGTGTAATAATTGATCCATCGAGAGTTTTTTTTTCTACATAAAAAAAATAATAATAAATTATTTCATGATGGGTCCATTTAGAATAATTTTGAAAAATTCTAAAATTAAAATTTGAAAAAATTACAAGTACTTTTAAAAAAAATGTATTTGTACATTTTAATAATTAAATTTTTTATCATATTGGTAAGTTGTCTAACATCTGAACAGTAATAATTTATAATTTTAATCTCTCTTGAGGGTTTTAGAACAATTTATTAAACTAAATTCATAATGCTTAAACTGATGTTTGCAGCATAAATCAATTAAACAAACTGGTGAACTTAAAATTATAAAGGTCATATAATTTGGAATTGTGGTGTTGAAGCTGGGAAGATTTGGATTAGTTACAAATAGCTGAAAGTGTCTTTTTTTGATTTATTTCATCAATTTATATTGAAATACTTAAATATTACTCTTATATTAGAATTTTTTCAATTTATTATTTCGTAGTATATCTAATAGAAGAACAATGTATGTGCCTAGATCTAGGACTTCTAAAATCATGAGGGCTTTGTCTGCTGTCTAGTCAACTAATGGAAAAATTTGGCATTGGTAAGTTATGGTATATTAGCTGGGTTTCTTACATAATATTAATTTCATTTTTTGTTGCATTTTCTTGTTTTGTGTTCTGTAAATATGGAGGACAGTAACAAAACTAGTGCAAATAATCACAAGTATAATTCTTGATTGGACCATACAGTTGTTTTGTGCTTAATGGAAAGAAGGCAAAATGAACTTGGAACAAGGACTGTATTGTGTTAAGACTTTCATCAGTGAGCAAAGAATAACTGATGAGCCCCACCCTCACATACACATAGTAAATATTTGTTGGAATATTTTTTTATAAACATCTTCATTTTTAAAAAAATGTTTGATTTTCATTCTCTGAAATACTGGTTGTGCTTTCAGAAAGTGAACAAAACTTATTTTCTGTGTTTATTTGGCTAAATTAATTTCTAACCATACATCAAGAGGCAAACTAGTCAACTAAATATGTCATAGACTTAGAAACACTGGAAGCAAGGAAATTCTTGCTTGTGTCATGCTTTGTCGAGTAAAATGAAATGTGTAAGAATCTCTAATTGAGATTTTCTGAAACTAATATGATACCACATATAATTATATACATATCCCCCCCTGATAGTTTGTGTTAACTGATCTGAAAATTACATAATAAGATATTCATTGCTAACAATGTCTGCAGGGAAATTGTGTTGATGAAGAATGCCAATGATGTAAAGAACAAGAATTAAGCAGTCAAGTATGTCTAATTGTATATACAAGAAAAGAAGTCATAGCACAATTTCTCAGCCATCTCAGAAAAATAAATTTAAAAAACTTCTCTTTGTCTGTGATTGTACATTTTATAAATTGAAGTAATAAATTTTTAAGTCTCCAGGAAGATCTTCATTTCTTAAATTTTGTGTTTTCACTTGCATTTCAATTTTTCAATTGAACTTTATGCCAAAAGTTTCTCTTGCATACGACTGATTTCACTTACTTTATTCCTAATAATTGTGTGTTTGATGAAGAATACTGTAGTTTTACTGTTGCATTTATTTATTGTTAGGCTAGGGAGGATTCAGCCAGTATCCTGCAACTTATTTTTAACAAATAGATGAGAAAGCATGTCAGTAATTTTGTAATGTGTCAAAAATTCCCATCATTAATAGAAAAAGAAACAATATTTTACATTATGGAACATGTTTCAATATTAAAAATTATATTATATATAATGGTCACCATCCTGTCACCTTGTTGGAAGCAATTACGCTCGGAGAATATATTCCGTAGTAGTTAAGGAATCCAAATTTTGACCGGTCCCAGTTGGGGCAACCAATTCTTTGAACAAATTTAATTATTAAAATGCATTGTAACTCAGTAACGTGATCACAATTTGGATTCCTTTACTACTCAGGAATATATTCTCCGAGCGTAATTGCGTCCAATAAGGTGAAGGGATGGTGACAATCATATATAATATACAAAAGGCATGACAATCGCGCTTGTGAAAACTGTTCAAAGGATTGGTTGTCTTGGTAGCTTAGTGGTTAGAGCAGCTGGGTGTAAACCAGAAGGCCTGGGTTCGAGTCCTGCTTGGGCAACCAATTCTTTGAACAAATTTAATTATTAAAAATTATAGTTTTTGAAGTCATTGGGCTGATATAGATTAAACAATAGAAGTGGTTGGTGTTTGTAAACTGAAGTGTTAGAAGGGGCTTATAATTAAACTGTGGATTTTTAGGCAATAAAAACAGTAGAAATAGATAGACAAAATAGGCATTTAAAAAAGCATTAGAATTTTCTAATCCTTATTTGTTACTTCTGTAGAAAGTTTATGAAGTAAATATAATCTAGTTTCCTTCATGGTTTTCATTATTGTTCTGAACAGAACCTCATAGAAACTCTTTATATCAGTGTTGAACAAGAAAGATTAGACAGCAATACCTAACTTTTCTTTTTTCATTAAATGCAGGCTGGTACTCCAATTCTGCACAGTGTATTGTTTTTCTCACATTTAATCTAAACATAAACGAAAATTTATTTATTTAAATATTAAACAATATTAACATTATTTGTTTTAATCAACATATCTAACACAAATGCTCTCACTTGTGGAGCTCAATAGCACAAACTTTCTTGCATAATTTCTAACTTTGCAATTTTCAAAAATTCAGATAGATCAAAGAAAATGAAACCTACGCCCATTGGCAAAAATCCACAGCTTACTTATAACTTCACTTATAACAAATCAAGTCTATTATTTGTGATATTGGCCGCATGTCATTCAATTATTTTTGTATTCTTCTTTCTTATCAGAAATATTCATAAAAAATGAGAAATATACTTTTTTTTTTTTTTTTCAGGAGTTCTCATATGTCATCTTCAGCTACAATTATTTGTATTGTTGAATTCCTTAGCAGATGCTGGCTGTTAAGAATTATTCCTCACTCCTCTTTGCGGTTGTGTTATGTTAATTTAATACTACAGATGTGGTAAATTGATTTGTGGGTTCAGTCACTGTGATTTTCAAGAAATATCATAGAAATTTGGAATTTACTGTTTCAGCTCATCTTGTAGATTAATTTTGCTCCTATTGATGTCCCTGTCTTGTTTGCTTAGTTGCTGAGAATAGTCCTTATTTGCTCAGAATATCTTGAAACAAATAGTTGCACTTCATAAATTAAATTATCTAGTTTTCATAAATATTTGTAAATACCTATAAATCTGCTCCCTACATATTAGTATGTTTTGCCATAAACCAATTTTTGGGTATCGAGGACCCCCAAAATGTGATTCTGACTACACAATTTTCTATATACTACATAAAATAGCATACACTTCCCACTGAAAGTCGTGGGAACTTAGTAATTCCTAGGCATTTTAGGATCCAAGGGGTTCCCTAGATTTCCCCACAGGACATTGAAGTTTCTTTCCTGCATTTACTGTCAGCAATGCTAAATTGCTCCATCGTAGTTTACAAATTGTGTGTAAAGTTTATTAGAGCTTCTGAGAGCAATTAACGAGATAGTAGATCGCCTCGAGACGCGATCCCCAGGGTCTTGAGTGCACTGACTGTGAATCTTGGCATAACTCCAGAGGTTCCAACCACCACTGGCAGGATTCTGGCGTTGGGTACTCCATGAAGTTGGGCTGCCAGGGGGATGACTGGTTGGTATTTTACCACCTTTTCCTCCCCTGCTTTCAGAAGGCTAGACCCATCCTCGTGGCGGACAGTCACATCGACCACGAGGACCCCTTCCCGGCTTTCTATTACCAGGTCATTGAGTCTAACCCCTTCGGCAACGGAGAAAGTGGCTTCCTTGGACAACACGGTGTCCGATTTCCGGAGCATCTTCCCTTCTATGAAGTTTTTGATCTCGTCATGACGCTTTATTCTTGCTGGCTTCATAAAAATGCACTGACCGAGGATGTGATTCATGGTTCCTACCGCTGTATTGCACTTCCTGCAGTATACGAGCCTCTCTGGCCCTTCCTCTTCCAAGAGTAGTTTTAGTGGCAGCGGTATTTGATCTCAATTGGAGTGCAGTGATAAAAAGACCAGATTTTAGAAGATGATAATCTTTCAAAATGGCATTTCCAATCGGATTGTCTATATGCGCCCTAACCGCTCCCTTGGGATCCCAGCTTCTCCCAGGTGGCTACCTCATCGGCGCATTTTTTTCTTACAAGCCCTTAAATCTTGTTCAGAATAGGTTCTGTTGAGTCTGTGATTTTGCGGTCTTTAGTGTCCGTTGGTAAAAACTTGGACAGGAGCTCAACCATCTGCAAATAGGATCCGCAGATTTTTCTAATCGTAATCCTAGGTTCAGCGCAACTCTAGGAACGTGTTGGGCTAGCCACAGCAATCCCAATCTCTCTTGGCCAAATAGAATAAGCCATCTACAGTACTCATATGCAGATGTAGGAACTGTTTGACTGCCACACTGATTTTACCGTCCTCTTCCCTGAGCATCGACATTGATGGCTTGGATAGAACCAATTGATTAAGGGAATGTGGCATTATGCAGGTATGAAGTAATGTCAGCACTGTCGACACTGCTTCCATCAAATTCTATATGGATGCTTTAGATGGGAAGCCGTTCCATATAGAGTAGTTCACTCCCAAGTATATAAGAGTATGATCATTGCTGACAAGGAGAATTTTCTCCCCCCAACCTTTCCAAACAGGGGTCCTCAATGATCCAGGATCGTTCAAAAGCTGTAATTTGAAATGATGAACATTTCACGATGGACAAAATTATTCCGAGGGCCCCAAGATATTCCACCACAATATCAACCAAATCTTGAGCTCCCGGGGCAATTTTTGATAACAGCACCAGATCGTCAGCAAATGCTAACACGGACATGCTCTTTCCCAATAGCATGTATCCTGACATATTTTCCAATTTCTCAAGCAGGCACTCCATGATGAGATTAAAAAGGAGTGCGGACAAAGGATCCCCCTGTTTTATTCCTGTACGAATTGACACCTCAATTTCTTTCGAATGGTGCTGAATGACGGTGGATCTACATTAGTTTTAGAAGTGTCCCAGGTTCCTATCCAAGTTGAAATATTTTCCTTCCAGTTAGGCTTGGCTTCTAGTGTGGCTCTGTTAAGACAAGTTTCAGTAGTTACGTCTCCGGGCTTCATAGAAGCCGAGGACTCAATAAAAGTTTGGTCCTGTCCTAACCGATCAGCGGTGTCGGAATGGGCCATGTCAATAGCAGATAAAACAGAATCAAATAGGACGGGCTCAGTCTAAAGCTTCTGATTCATCTCTGTAACTATATCGGCCTCCTCGTTAGGGGATCGCCCCCAAACTGCTTCCGGGGAGGCAATGTCTACCATTGCGAGTTCCTCAGGGCCATTGCCTATGGGCCTAGTTTTTAGAAGGGAATCGGTATTGCGTATCTCGACCTGTAAAGACATTTCCATCCCCATTGGACAAGTGTCTCAGCAGGGGATCATCGGCTTCCTTCCTGCCCCAATGGCAGGCCTTTGATGCAGGGGAGAAGAAGAAATCAGCATAGGGATTTGGCTTACTGGAGTCATCGGAGATCTAATGACCCTGCGAGGCGATAACAGCAGCACAAGTAGAAGGTTAGCTAAATTATCGGACCTCCGACCGTCAGATGAGGACGAGGATGACTCTGCAGTGACGGTAGCTACAGTTTCAATGGTTGCTAAATAACTTCGATATGTAGTGCTTTTTCTTTTATCACCCACCTGTCGGGCGGTCTTACCCAGTAGAGCGGTCAAATTCTCGTTCGACGTCTCTGGTCTTTCTCCAATGCCGCCATTTTCATAATTTCCTCCGAAGAGAAGACTTTCCCTGTTCTAGGTACAGCAGTCCTACCACTACGCTGCACCTTGGCAGCTCGTGCCCTATTAGCTGCGTCCGCACGAACATGGTGCAAATGTTGTGAGAGCTCTGATTTGGTTGCGAAGTTGGTGGAGCATTACTCGCATATAAAGTCTCCTTTAGATTCTTTTGGACCCGGGCACTTTGGAAAATGACACAAAAGCTGATAGCTTACCTTTCTATTTCTTGCTGCATTTGGAGCATAAAAAGATTAAGGAGACCTATCTATGGACAGTACCGTGATGCCGAACCATGTTATTCAAATCAGTGGCCATGTAGCCGCCCCTTCCTTTCTGGACACAATGTGCGCAGCGACTCGCCTCGAAGGGAATCCTAATCATGAACCATTTCCAAGCTAGGGTCGTCATAAATGGAGGCCTGTTGTATGCTCCCGTTTTATGGCGCCGGAGACTCGCCTATCGCCCATGCCTCTTGGCTGCACCTCAAGTTGCCCTGAGATGCATTACTAGGAGTCACCGCATGGAGGTGAGAGAGTGCACTCATCGGCCACGCAACGGCAAACCCATTACAGGCTGCTATTACGGCCATACGGTTGCGATCGCCTTACAGAAGGGCTTCTCAGTACTTACTGGGGTAGGTTTACTAGCATCGCTTACACCACCGATATCGGACCGCCAAGTGGAAGCTATTTACTGGAAGGAGGAGCAATAAATACTTTTTTGATTTCTGGAAAAACCACAAAACAAATTTTCTGTCAAAAAATCGCTACTTTCCATTGCAGCATTGCAAAAATTTCTCATTATCGTGTTACGAGTACTATGTAGAAGCCAAGAAAGTAGAAAGTTTGTGTAGTGAATGACAATAATAGTTAAGTCTTCCTTTAGTTATCAACTTTCATGAATGAAATCCGTTTCTTGTGAACATTGGAGATGTGAGAAGAATAAATCTGTTTATGAGCAGTTCATTAAAACAGGAATTATTACAAAAAGCAAAAAATCTCCTTTGACAGTACTTAATTTTTTTTCATCAACACAAGTCAGTATGGCATTTGGAAGGTTAGAGAAACTCTTAAAAGTATAGTAAGTGTTTCAATGAATTCAATGAACCTACATTTCAAGCAAGTGAACCGGGACAGATGGCTCAGTATATCAACTGATGTCACCCTCTGACCGGGAGGTCCTACGACTGCCGGGAGGGACTAATGACCCTTGTAGATGACGAGCCCGGAATCGCTAACAAATAATCAATCAAGCAGATGAAATTACGTAAAACAATTGAACTGTTTCGGTTTGCTTATTTTTCATTTTAATAGTTCTAATCATTGTAATTAATATCAAACCAAATGAAAATTACCCTTTAATTAACATTTGATTTGTTGAATAGGTTGAATTTCTATCTTACACATTTTATAGTTTTACTGGAAAGATACTTCTTGATTCCTTGAAATTCTTTTTATACAACAATTTGTGATGTTAAAACTAATGTTTAGTGTAAACATGTCACTTAATCTATATTATTGACACTCATAATTTATATTATTGATTCACATTCATTTCTATCATATTTATTTCAAAGGAAAAAATGGTATGCCTAAATTGATAAGAAAAAGAAAGGAAAGATAATGGAAAAACAGATTCTTATTTTATTCAGGTAAATGAGATCTAGGTTAAGGAATGGTGATTGCAACATGGAAATAATACATTCAAATCACTTCTTGCCATATATACATAATGTATCTTAAGCATTATAGTACTTTGGAAGAGTACATACTGAATTTCAAAAATGTGTAAAATCTGACTGCTTCACTATAGTAAAAATGAACCATGAATTACATTCTTCTAAATTTTTATAAAAGAGTATGCTATTACTTATCAATACATTTTTTTAAAATATGTGTTTCATGTACAAAGCTGTGAATTTTTCAACTGGTTTTGTAACTAGTAAAATAGTATTGACAGCAAAGTATTAGCTCATTCTACGATACTTGTATAAACATTGCATTGTTGACTAGATGATTTATATATCTAACAACTATGTTTTTTTGAGAATACAGTTAACAATATTTTTAAATTAAATAATTACCCTAAAAGAAGTCAAAGATCTAAAAGCCCCTCATTTGTTGTAGAAAAGTGATGTATATAGTACCCTCTGTACATGCAGATCAGGGAAAAGTCCCTTTTTGTATTACATGAGGACTAAGTTGCTTTCCTGTACTTTGAAACAATTAACCATTTTTAAGAGTAAGAATCTTTTAGGAAAAACTATAGTTTTGCCATTTCAGTAAACTTATTCCTCCAAAAATTGTCTTCACTCAAAGGAAGGATATAATGATCACATAATAGTTATGAAAAATATTATGTTCACTCAAATAATGCTCGCAGACTATCTTCATACAGAGCAATCACAAGCATGATTCCCCCTCCAGCGAGAAGTCCAAGAAGATGCAAATATGCAGTTTGTGCCTGTTGGTTGTTTCTGCTCAGTTCTGGAACCTAGAACAAGATACAGTTTGGAGTTGTGCTTTTTCTCATTATTTGCACTATTATCATTTCAATTATTAATAATAAAGAAGGTCTAGGCTCTAATATTCAGTTTCTGCAAGTTATCTGGATTTTGACCTGTATTGAAATGTCTTACGATTTCAGATAATGCTATTGCCATGTAGTATGATGAAAGCAGTGTGGGAGGTTTATGTGGTTGTGACCCTCTAATTTTGAAGACAAAATCTGGTAATTGGGTAAGCATAGTGAGGTTTTGGTTCGTCTTGATTCAACATTCAGTATCCAATTTGTTTGTTATGCAGACATAACCAAACATATTCTTCTTTGGATTTGGCATTATTATTCAACATTTACTAGTTTAGCAAGGAGCAAGGCAATATGTAACTTATTTTAAAATTAAGTTATTGTATGAAGAGAAATGTGTGTGTTCATAATCTTTTGTATAGCCTATAATGGCATTCACAAAATCCCTGGTAGAAACAAATTGTGTAAGTGTTAAAGTAAATAAAAAGTTGCTTAATGCTGAAATGCTCTTGAAATCTAAATTGATCTATATTAATGGCATTTTCAATAATTGACCGAAATTCATCAAACAGTAGAGAAAGTGTGTATACTGTCAACTGCAACTATCTCTACTGCAAACAGTAGAGAAAGAGTATTGTAGGCTTTCACGGCCGGAGTCAATATTCTTCATGTCTTCCGGGCTGATGGGCCGTGGTCCAATTGGCTCTGAGATGCCAAACGTTTCGCCCACGACGAGGTCTCGGGCGAAGTGTCCGGGCCGGTGGCTGACTGGCCAGTTGCCATTACTTCTAGGCTGTCCGGGTGACGCCGCGTCGTTGGCAGATAGGCCGACGTTTCGCCTGTCATGTCGCAGGCTTCTTCAGGGTACTGACAAGTAAAGCTCCGCCTCCGGTGTTATATCTTATTATATATTATATATTATGACAACTGGCCAGTTGTCAGTCGCCAGTCAGCCACCGTCCCGGACACTTCGCCCGAGACCTCGCCACTGAAGATGCCCACCGCAGTCGTGGGCGAAACGTTTGGCATCTCAGAGCCAATTGGACCACGGCCCATCAGCCCGGAAGACATGAAGAATATAGTAGAGAAAGAGTACACAACCGTCTGTTGAACTTTTGTAACTCAATAATTGAACATTCCATTGGTGATTATGTAGATAAACAGAAAGTAATTTCTTGATCCATTTTAAGATTAAGAATCTAAATGAATCTCTAGATCCACTGAAAGTGACTATTCTACAACCTACATCCATGTTAGCTTATGATTAGACCTCCGATTTTAGGATAAATGCTTATTTATTTCCTACAGGAGGTTGTGGAAAATAATTTCAGTTGTTTACGAATAGTGAAACAGTAGATCTACTGAAAGCATCTAATAGTGCCTAAAATGTCCTAAAAGCTTCATGCTTAATTTAATGTTATTGCCCCAAACAAGTAATTTTGAAGAATTATCACATTTTAATTACTGACTGTTTAAATTTATTTTACCAAAATACATACTTTTGCGAATTTCCCAAAACGTGAATGTTCTCTGACCAAATACGCATACGGCTACTCACTGAAATCTCTCTCGCCCAGCACACCAAACATGGGGGGTCGTAGATATTTAAAAAATACTAAACCTATTTGTTATTATATTGCATATTATTTATGTACTGCAGATATAATACTATGCAATATTTTTGTTTAAATGATTATATAATTCGAATATAAATATGTAAGTCAAATTTCCCTCAAAAAGGAAGGTAAACTCCAGTTCCGGCATCGTATAAGCAACTCTGACAGTTCTTTCGCCACGTGCTGTGATACGTCATGTGACCTGCTGCGAAGCAATCAGCTTGTGAGGATTTGTTTTGTTTACTTTCGCAAAGCCAGCGTTCCGCGTTGCCGTTCAGCTGACACACGAATTCGCGGAAGCGATGAGGTTCGGCGGTGGCAAAGGTTATCATGACCATTATATCAAGACGTGTCGTCGCCTGTCAGAAAATGTTAATGTTTTGAGATTTAATTTATCTGCCATGTAGGCGGTGCCATGAGCGTAGTAATGTGTGGCAACAACGCATCGAACTGTCAAGTCGCTTATTCGCTGCTGGTACTGTAAAACTCTATGCCTTTTGGGAGGAGACAGTCCCACCGCCCTGGATCCGCCAGTGAACGTCCTTCTCAACTACGTTATACCTTCAATTTATTTTATTCAAGTCAAAGATCTTCATAAGCCGGCCTGGATAGGGCGCTAAGGCTGAAGGGCCGTAGCTGCTTCGGCTCGGAGGGTCCCGGGTCCTCGGGCATGGACATTTGTATGTGTTTGTGTTGTCCGTACAGTTACCCCGACAGTTAAAACGATCACAGTGGTCGCTATATGATCAAGTTGTTAAAAAGCGATCTAAAAATGCATAAATGTATCGAAAATAATTGACATTGATTGTGAGGACATTCTTTTTCACTTTCAGTTTTTTAAACTTCTTGCGGTCCAACCAGAATTTTGTATTTTGTAAATTGTTTCACTTACCATGTCAGCCAAAGCAATGTACAGGAAAGACCCTGCAGTAATTGCATAGATCCATTGGGATGCAGCATCAAAGTTGCCCACCCACACTCCTATAGCCATTCCAATGAAGCTCAGCACTGATGATACGACATTGTAGAAAAGTGCATGCTTTAGGCTCATGCCTGATTTGAGCAGTACTGCAAAGTCCCCTGTGAAACAATTTTTTTGTTGTATTAAAACCCAGTTTAAAAAATAAAGTTTACACTCTTAGAAAACAATTATACCGCCAAGAAACTGTCAGAAGGGAAAAATTAATATTGTAATGGTAAAAAGACACAATACACACATTAAACGTATTTACACGATATAAACGTATAAACGTAAAATACTTGATAACGTATTTGCACACAGAAATTATAGGTAATTTATGGCGAAAATCCGATGATGTGAAGGACATTTCATGTAACCTTCGCGTCTAACTCATGTGTCGGATGAATAGAGATAATACAGGTTTTGCGGTAAATGAATCCGGTTTTGGTGCAACTACTAATCTACTCGACGATCGTGAATTCCCAGCTGTGCTGGAGCCAGACTTTTTCTCTGCAGGTAGCTCGACAAACAACTATGATGAAAGAACATTGTGACGTCGTAGGTATCTACACACGCACTTTGCTTTCCGGAGGCTACACCAGATACACATTCCTATCGTTCCAGTTATTTCAGGAAAAAACACTAGCGTATTACTCGTAATATTTGCAGTATATAATACCTTTACCGTTTTGGCCTCGAAGCAAAGACTTCCGAAAAAAGCTTATTTTGGAGGGGGGAGAAGGTAATTTTCCAATTTCGACCAGTCTGAATGTCGGAACTTTGTGTGCGTTTCCAAGCGAAGACGCGCTGTTGTAGACTCATGCGTGTGGGAGTCAGTCTTTGGCAGTTATTTGTGTACAGCGGCTTTGGTTGTGTAACGGTTAGCGAATCGGACTAATATACCGAAGTTCGTGGGTTCAAACCAGATTGGCCGTGGACTTTTTTTAAGGGCGTAAAAATGCTTCGCACGCCATCCTTTAGATGGGAAGTAAAGCCGACTTTCCGATGATATGGACTTATTGCATGTAAAAGATCCTCAAGCCTAAAAGAAGCATCTGAGCTAAATTCAAATTGCCTGTTTTCACGTCCGAGTGATACCTCCATTATCCGCTAGATGCTGAAAGGAGCTTAGCGAAATTTGCGCCGTCAGACGGAGCAGGTGTGGTAGCTTGTGTCTCGCCTTGTTAAATAAGGCACGATTGAATACAGCGAGTGTACTGGAACTCCGACGGCCGGCTGGCGAAATCGGGAACGATGGCAGGGCCGCACGCGATACGGGGATGTCGTTCGTAAGCAAACTGACAATTCACAAATTAGCACTTTTCGTCCTTTGTTTCCGAAAAAGTTCGATTTGTTCTTCGATGATACTCAGAACTATCTTCAGCACTTCGACCTTCTTTAAGCCAACTTGAACACTACGCAAACAGAGACATTTTCAAAAAGACTGCTGAGCAGACACGAAACGTTTCTCAGTAAATGATAGAAGAAACATGCCTTCATCTGTTTGCGAAGAAGACTGTTTTTTTACAAAGAATGGTTCACACCGTGTAATTATGCGCGTACATCCTCTTTACATCAACTTCTGCCTTCAGAATGCTCCCCACCGGCATCTACACACGCTTGCGATGCCAGCGAGAGCTTGACTGGACGCTCACATGCTGATCAACCCCTTGTTACAATTAAAATTTAGCCATTCAAGAGGATGGATTTAGTCTCAGTGGGATTATTTTAAAAAGTGAATTAGTCTAGCAGATGTGGTATTGCCACAAAATATTTTTTTAAATTCGTTTAAAGCTGAAATCCAATGCAGTATTCTTATTTTCACAAACGTCAGACTTCCGTTTGCACGTTTCTAAGTATGGGTTTCAAATAAGTTATTGTAAGGGCATTGTTATTAATGACTTATTGGATTACTGACATGGAAACGTTTTTTTACTTAAAATAGCTAATACGAAAATTACAAAAAAGTCCGTTTAAAACTATTTAGGTAAAAGCATTTAAAGTATGTCGTAGGCTAATTGGAAACTGGCTTATTGCACAGACCATCCGCATTTTGTAGAGCGAATTTGAAAATAATTAAGCATTTTCCAATCACTCTTACACAATATAGGCTTATTGCCATATACCTACCACTCTTTACGCAAATTGGAAACTGTGCTCTGGTTTGATCAAACATCCTGGTTTCATCTAGGCATATTTTCCCAGTCAAATTAGACCAAAAACTGGTCATGGAAGAGAAAAAAATCCCGGAGTTTTGAAATTTGGCATGATTGTTTGAATTCTTATCCAGACAACGACTGATCGAAAATCCTAACATCGTGGAATTCGAAACCTAGAACCTCCCGATCAGAGGCACTGCAGTGAATCCCTAATCATCACGATGCTACGCACCGAATTCGTGCGGCAGCTCGTGGCAGAAGACGGCGAGCGCGGTGGCGAAGCCGGCGACGGGGTCGTCGCAGAAGGCGGCGCCGATGGCCAGCCCGTCCGTCAGGTTGTGCACGCCGTCGCCCAGCAGCACCATCCACACGATGGCGCCCGCGCCGCCGCCCGCACCAGCCCCCGCGCCGTGCGAGTGGCCGTGGCCGTGACCGGGCTCCGCGCCGCCCAGCATCTTGCGCGCCTCCGGCCCGCCCTCGCCGCTCCCAGCGCCCACCGCGCGCAGCTCTGACAAGCAACACGCCAAGCGGGCACGCTGTCAGAGAAAGGCCGGCGACAGCACCAAGCGGTTGGCATTGCTTTACCAGCATTCCTGTAGAATAATCTGCAAGAATTCTAGAAGATATATTTGTTATGTTTGTGTGTGCGCCAGGGGGGAGGGCAAATACAGTAGTGAAACATAAATTACCATTTTGTCTTTCCGTTATAACACGAATCATTACGACTTATTTCGTCAGATTCACTATAACTAAACCTCTCTCTTTCTCTCTCTCTCTCTCTCTCTCTCTCTCTCTCTCTCTCTCTCTATATATATATATATATATATATATATATATATATATATATATATATAAGGGAATGTGTGTATGTCTGTTGAATATAGACGCGAAAACTATTCGACCGATTTCCCTGAAATTTTCACACTTTGTTCTTATTAGTAACGTGGGTATTTAAAGTGTGGTTTGAATTAAATCGGACATGTGGGGACGTTGTAGATAATTTATTTGTTTATGACGACTCGAACGCCTCTGAACTCTTCGCAACCGGGAGCAGAGTCAAGGATTAGACGCGCCTTCACTGCATTCAAGTATTCTGTCCCTAAGATTGTAAAATATCGCCCGGAATTATTACTTGAATCTCGGAGAGGTAAATCAAATTTTTCCAAGATGGTGTCATAGCGAACGCACGCCCGAGTGAGGGAGAACTATATAACAATAGGATACTTGACAGCTATGTCCAAATCAGAACAAAACTTGTAAGAAAATCTCATCTATTATAATTTTTGCACAGCATAGCGTAAAACGTGATTACCAATCACGTGACTAGTAGTGTGTGATGTGTTGCAATAGTGAAGCATTGCCGGGTCCACTAGTTTTATAATAAAACAAAACGTTTTAATAAGAATTTCTACCGAAAATTTTTCCCGTAAATTTCTATTCAAGAAAAATCGTGCCAGGCAACTGCAGGTTTAAAATTTTCTTTTTATTTCTAACTCCTCTGCAGCAGAAATAAAAACATTTTCCTTGCTCTAAGTTAGATATCAGACCGCCTCAGTAGCGTCTTTGAGACGTTCTCTTATCATTGTTGATCTGAATCGTGTCGTTATCCTACGAATAGAGGTGAAAAAGGAGTGCAAGCTAGGAGTGCAAGCTAGAGCAAGAGAAATGTTGACTTGGATAGAATTTTAGAAGACATAATTCCAAAAATGAAGGAATTATACTTTATGGTAAGCCGGAAGCCGTCTTTTGATATTTGTATTTTAGATAATAAAATTGACATGAGATAATTTTACACAAATTATCTAATTCCAAAGTAATGTGAGAAATTTCTATGAATATACAAATTCCAAAGAATGGATGTCAAAATAGATTTACAATAGAGATCATCAGCTTACGTGCATTTTAACAATACGATACATGGCAGAAACGTAGCAGATTGTCTCACCTTCTGCATTGACCATCATTTCTCCTTTCCACATCTCTTCATCTTCTTTATTCTGACATTTTTCTCCTGTTTCCTGCGCAAAAAATATTAATGTTAAAACACATTCGACTTCCATTCACACCAATTCTGCATATAATCTTATTTCTGGGGGAGAGGATACTTGACATATAAAGCTCAATTATCAAACTTACCCCGAAAAGACTTCAAATTTTCGTCTTTTAAATGTGTATGGATAAGGTCCGATGCGCTTAATCTTGTGATAATAAAAAAACTCAGTAAATAAATTGGTGGTGCATTAGATATTGAATTATTTAGATTAGAGGTTGTTTCAACCAGTGACAAATATTGAACAATAAGACTATTAATTCATAATGTAATATAACTTTACGAAACAGTGAGAGTTTTTCATACTTGAGAAGCATTTAATGCACATAAGTAGCATGAAATAGAATGTACACTATTTACTATGCCTTGTCTCCACTGAAACCCACGCGCGACGACTTAAGGACGAATGATTCTTCCCTATACAATAGACTTCGCGTGTCGAGAAGACTCTTGTGCAGAGGCAACTCGGATCTCTCCATCAGGATCCAAATGGGCCCTCACAGAAACGTGTCGCTTAGTAACATCGATAACCAAAGCTGCCAATTTATTTTAAAATAATTGAATGAAAATACACTTTACTACATTGCAATTCAATATTGTATTTTTCCTTTGAATTACATTTGAAAATTTAGCTTTTAACCTTTAATTTTTGATATTTTAATTATGTTAACTCGAAATTTTCCAGACGGTTTCTTTGGTGTTTGCTGTGCAACCTTTGTATTTACACCACGCTTGAACCATGTCCGAAGGTCCTTTGCTCACATCTCTTAGACACTGTGGCTCCTTGGGGTCACAAGACCCAAGGAGCCACACGGGCAAGGTCGACTAAAGCCAGCGATTGTTGAATGCGTGTGTCGCAATCCTTCCCGAATTTATTAACTGTCGCTGATACTGAACGCGTGGCGACACGTTGAATGAGGGAGGTGAAATTGCTCTGCGGCATCCGGCACAATTACCAATCAAAATTGTTTTGATTCATAAGTGATTTCGGGTGCGTTAGTGCTAAGTGTAGTGCATGTTTTTCCTCGGGGGATTGTGGTGATCTTCACCCTCTGGATAGTGTGATTAGGCACCGACCTACCGCCGGCTAACGGGATTTCCTCTCATCCAGGTATCTCCCACCAGCGGGTCACCGCCCCAGACGGGTCAAGCTCTAAAGAGTTTATAAGATTCCGACCGGTCTCCCGGCACGTGTGTAGTGTAGTGCGTGTACGTAAGGGGTGATGGTAGATCAAGGAAGAAAAAGGAAACATTGCGTTCGGTCCGTGGCCGATATATCAATCAGAGCAGCCGGCCGCTAGAATTCTCCTCCTGACATCGACTGAACTCGACATAGCTCTCTAGTAAGTGTGGAAAATCCTGCCACCGACGTGACTCGAACCCAGGACCTCCCAGTCAGACCTATTACAGGGACATTAATTGATGCCCTGAGCCACCTCTCCCAGTATCAAAACTGCAGCGCATGCGCAGTGTAAGTAGTTTTTCCCCTCGTTTCCCGTGTAGGCGGAGGGGAGTGGTGTGTGTGGCGAGGCAGGGGCGCTCACCGGGGCGTTGAGGCGGTGCAGCAGCGTCTCGAGGGCGAAGAGCGCGGCCATGGTGCCGAAGGCGGCGGCGGCGCGCAGCAGGCCCTCCTGCGGGTGCGCGCGCTCCTCAGGCCCAGGCCCCAGCCCAGGCCCCAGCCCGGGCCCCGCCGGCGCCTCGTGGTCTGCGGTCAGCGCCTGCGCACGCGCAACGTCGAAAGCCGTTAACATCTCATTCTCTCTCATGCATTCTCATACAGATTATCCATTTTGTTTTGAAATACATTTGTCGCTTCTATTCGTGCAATGATTCGCGGACTGAGAGGACATTTTAACGTCACACACCTGCAATCACTACAAAAACGTGTAGTTTTAACCACGAACTGGTAGCAGTAGTCAGCTGCAGTCAATTTTAGCAACAGAAAACAAGGCGGCCAGTAGTGCAGTGTTTCAACCAGGAGCGCTCTATTTTCAAAACAATTCCTCTGTAGTTCAAGCTCGTTGCCTCACACTCACACACTTGATGGCGTTCGTCTACTGCTTTCGATAGATTGCAAACCGCAAAACAAAAATTACGAACACAACTACAAATGAAGATACTTTTTACTTTCACGTATGTACCGAGTAATATACGTAGTATACGGAAAATTATGTAATGCTATGGAAAATCGATTTCCCACATTCCTCAAGGTGGTGGTCTGTGTTTATGTTTTTGCCTCTGAATACTTGTGTATCAGTTATTCTCGAGGCCATTTTTTTATTATTATGTAATCAATTATTGAACGATATCCTCATGCATTCCACGTGAATTTATATATCATTAAATATCATTAAAACCTACGAATTCTCTAAGTTTTTCCCCATTCTGATTTATTGTATCTTCTCTATTAATTTCTATTAAATTGGGAATGGGTACTTTTCCAATTCGAGGATTTAAATATTTAAAGTTCTTAAAAATAATATTTCCGTTCTACTATTACGAAGCAGAAAACTTATGGAAATTTTAAAAAAATGTATTTTGGGCGGCAATAGATGTCAGTTGGCCAGAGTATGTGGCAAGCTCGTATTAGCTCGATGAGACCAAAGAAAATAGAAAACTAACACGGGAAAGTCTGTGCCATTCTGTAGCACCACTAGTTTTTTAATGAAATGTGTTCAGAAACAGGTTCATCAGAAGCATCAGAACACACAAGGTCATGTTCAATTTTTCGTCAATATGATTATTTTTTGTGTGACATAGGTAGTTTTTAAATTTTATTCAATTATTTATATCTTTTCACAGAAAACTATTGAGTTTTCGAAAAATTTCTTATCAAATCATATGAAGCACTTTAACTCACAAATGCAATAGTGTTTACAAATTGCTGGAAATGTGCATATTAAAGGCCTGAGAGATATTTTAAAACAATTTCATTCGTGTAATTTTGCAACTATGTTGGAAACGTGTGAAGAAAAATTTCCGGGCCATTTTTGAGAAAATCATGTTTGAGCGTTTCTGAAAATGCGGAATTTTGAACTCTTTTTTCCCCAGAAATGTTGTTTTTAAAAACTTCATCTGACATTATTCTGACATATCTTCATCTGACATATGTGCTTCTAAATATAATAATGTGAACAAATTGCCGGTAATGTTAACGACCTGAGAAACAAGTTAACAAAATTACATTTTTGTAATTAAAAAAAACACAAGAATAGAGCAAAATGGCGTTTATTTTATCTTATAGAGTGCATTTAGCACTATAACTACCAAAAGTTTAAAGAAATAATTAGGAGCCATTTTTCAAAAAATCTTGTTTTCGTAATTTTTTAAAATTGCTCACAATATTCCTCGACAACTAATTTTTTTAATGTACGTGGCCTTATTGAATGAACTGATTATGAACAATAAATTCCATTTCAAAGAAAAATTTATATCTTCAATTTTGTTGTAGAAAGGCGGCGGAAATAATTTAAACTTTTGTAATTTTCGAAAATTCATAGTTTCACTTTTATAAATGTATTTTACTCTATTCTTACAAGAAATGTAAAGAAAAAATTAAGAGCCATTTTTGAGAAAACTTTGAAAAGTCCCCCGAGATTCATATAAAGTATCCCTAAAATTAATGAATGTTTTACAAAATCGCAGAGATTTGACTCAGGCCTATTGGATTGGGGTTTATTCAGTTTGGAAACAAAGCGTACTTATGGTTTAGGCGCTAGTGTTGTTCACATACATAAGACAGACGGGCGGACGTTTTGCTGTCAATCGATTTTTAGCTATCAAGAACTCACGAAATATGGGTACATCATGTGTTAGAGCATTAGTTTTCTTAATTTAGCAACTGGACTTTTCTCCTGAAAACCCGGCGTTTTTTTTCGCGCAGTATTACATAACTTTCCCTGTACAAAGTAAATTACTCAGTATATACGTATGTATACTGGAAAGTAAAAAAGTGGTTATGTGAGTTGTCAATTCTAATCAATTCAATTGAAAAAGTCGCAATGAACAAATGATGGCAATAAGATTTCCTTCCGTTAATTTTATTATATTTTTAAAATGTATTGCTTTTACTAAAAACCGTTAATAAGAACAACTGTTTACACATTCACCTTTTTTGAGTGTTCTTTAGCTGTAAATATTCTTCTGTGAAGATATTGTCTAACATATACAATAATGCAATTCCTCTTAAAAATTTAGATTAATAATGATAACAATAATTAATAATTGATAATATACCGATTAGATGACCGAGATCGCAGAGGCAGTAATGCTGAACCGATCTCATTCAGAAGATCGCGGGTTCGAGTCCTGCCTGGCGCATGGGTGTATTTGTGTATATATTTGTGTGTCGTCCTTTCACATCTCATTTTCATAATCATTTTATCTTCCATACTTTGAGGGCTAACAACCCTGGGGGATAAAAATGGGATCCAGCTCAATGCTGATCTCCAGATAAAGTTACATGCACCTGCCACCGAGATCATGGTACTGAGCCCCGGTAAATGTAGGGTGAATGCACGCGTGGACCAAGTCGACTTATTCCCGCTTATTATTATTATTATTATTATTATTATTATTATTATTATTATTATTATTATGATTAATAATAATAATAATAATAATAATAATAATAATAATAATAATAATAATAATAATAATAAATGAAAGTCCATAAAATATGTATGAATTGGTTCTCTAACAGACTACGATAATTGAAACATCTACAAGAAGGATTTTAAACGCGGATTTGACTTTGTAAGGACATGACACTGAAATCTTCATACGGTTAACAACGATATTGCTTAAGTATATTAGTTGTGCAGTAGTGACATCTGAACTGGGGATATAAATAGCAGCTAATGGCGAGTTCAATTATCTCGTAGAATCTGCAAGCAGCGAGAGGTGAACAGGCGGGTCGCGCAGGTGCGTGACTAGAGGACATTCACATTTTCTAACAAACCCCAGGCGCATACGCGTTATCCGGTCACCTCATCAAACTTCAATGCTTTCATTAGCTCTCCTCGCTCTCCCATTTTCAAAAACCAATTATATTTCATGAAGTTTGCTTCGATAATGGCATATTTCTAGTCTAAAAATCACCATATTTTTTTTGTTGTTCCTTGCACTAAATGTTTTCCAATATATTTTCTTTCTTTTTCGACACAATCGTGATTGACATAATGTTGCTGTTGATGAAATATAAAACATTGTCTTCAATTTGGTTCACCCCTAAAACAGTAGTTAGTGCAGAAAGAAAGCAAAGATAGTCTTCAATCGGTATAAAAAGTAATCTGCCAATGCACTGTTTTCAGACATTTGATTCTAATAATGGTAAATGAAATGGCGTAGTAATAAGACTGGCCCGAGCACTCGGAAAGCAAAAAGTGGTGGCATCAGATCCGTTTTATCCTAGTGGCACTTGTAGCACGTGCTACAGGCCCCACGCTTTCTGAGAAAAATGTCTTACTATTGAAGAAAAGTTTTGCCGTTATGCAATTTGTGAACTTACTGTAAAAAAGGACATATAAATAAATACATATAAACAATATGTACATATAAACATAAATAATAATAAATACATATAAACAACAATAAATACATATAAACAATATGTCGCGCGACATTATTTTAGGTTTAAAATAAAACCGTTTGATATTTATTAATTTGTTTGGATAATTTGTTAGTGTATAACTGAAAATCATCAGATTCAGAATCAGCTGATAGTCTTATGTTCGTATTTATGGCGGAAATGTTTCTATTCGAGTACTCAAGCTCTATCCGCGCAATTTCAATAACGATACCGAATTTATCACTCCTTCTCTTAATTCAATCACATACATTTTTTTAAAATCTTTGAAACATAATTCAAGCTATCAAATATTTAAAATTTCGTAAATATAATATAGATCTAATATCAATGCCGCTAATATCGAGAAATTAATAAAGTATGATTTATCATTTGGTCTATTCAGCTTTGGAATTCTGTCGCCAACTCGGGTGCTATGGGTATGTATTAGGTTTCCTTTTTATAAATATCGCAACGATAAGCTAAACCACTGGTGTAAACAAATTTAACGTTACATGTATTTCTTGGCAGCAAATATCGAAAATGAATTTAGTTTGCAGTTAGAAATCGGTAGAAGAACAAGTGCGATACATTTTTATAATTGTGACAATATAAAGCAAACCAGCTTTAATTTCGCACGAGATAAACTAAATAGAAATTAAAGTAATTTAAAGTACTTTACCCTTCGAGCCGAGGCAGTTAAGGCCCTTAAGCCTTAACGACCTCGGTTATCCAGGCCGGCAAACATTTGTTGTTATATGTTGGCAATAAGCGCGAACACTCACGTGCGGCAGCAGGTGCAGCAGCGCGTCCCCGCAGAGGGTGCCGGCGCCCAGCGCCATGAGGAAGGCGAGCGCCGGCTGCACGTGGCGCCAGCGGCCCAGCAGCTGGCCGGCCGCCGCCGCCGCCACCAGCCCCACGGCGCTCGCCAGCAGCACACTCAGCGACGCGTACGCCCACGCTGCAACGCACGGGGCAAAGACGTTACAAGAGGATGGAACTGGACTCGCTGAGAGCGCTGCCCTAGCGGAATAATGTGAAGGCCGCCATTTGCAATGGAAACGTGCGTAGCTCATACGTTATGTTATTGTCAGGGCCAGTGTTATTTAAATGTATGAAAATGTATGTGATATAATATGGTTAAGAGTTGTCCGGCATATTTTAAGAGCACGAACAAATTCAGTATTCCAAGTTTAAATTCAGTGTACAAGTTTGCACAGCTTGTCTCTTCAGAACGAAATATTACTAGGGAACATCTGTGTTTTTCCTTATTCTGTAGTTGATTGTAAATGTTGAAGACCTTTCGTGTGAAAACTTGCATATCTGTATTGGTAAAGAAAAATTGCAACTGACATAGAAAACATGTATCTACACATTATTCGTAAACAGCTATTTTTTCATTTTATTTTTTTATTTCTCTCTCACCCAAAAACAAAGATAATGAAAACGAGCGCAATTGCAGAGTCAAATTTGAAACTCTCGCACTTCATCCACTACAATGGCGGCCACGGCTCCCTTCAATTTATCCTATGTCCTGAACAGTCTTCCACAGGCATACGCGCGGTCAGATCGCTGCTCATCTGCAGCACTGACAGATATGTTGTAGAACAATGTACTAAACATTTTGAGCACACGATCGTATAGTAAATGCAATTATTCGAGTAGTAATATTCACTAAACATGATTTCCTTTCGTTTAGTAAATCAGACAACTGAAAATTGTAAGTGAATGAACAAAGAGAATTGTTAGTGGTACTGTACTTTTTATGTAGATCTCACCAAACTATTTTATCTACAATTCTTGTCATCACACTTATGAAACTCTTCTTAGTAAGAGCGCGTTTTCAAAAATACGACCAATTCGAAAGGTAATAGAGCTCATGTGCACTGTGAGAAATCAATTCTGTAATTAGTTTTATGCGCTGTTTAAACGAAGTATTTAGTATTTTATTGATTTCAAATAATTGTATGTTGTATTCTAAACTAATTGTAGAAATACCGTTGGTAGACAAACGTCGGCACTTAGCGTCCATAAACGTTCTGCTTGGCTAGGGTTTGTCACGTAACTCATGTTAAGGAAGTACGAGACCACGGGGATGTTGGATGGGTGACAGCAGGAGAACTCCAGTTTCTTAAATACCTGGCTAAAGGGATAGAAATAAAATATGTCCCCTTCACGTTTCTGCTTTCAGGACTCACTCAGAAGCGTTGTCATGAGACGCAACTATTTGTCTAGTAATTTGTTCTCCAATGTTTTTAGTAAATATTACGACCTGTTTAGAGAACATGCGTTAGTGTGTTTAATTAACCAGGTTAGTGAGCACGACTAAGCATTTTGTTCTTCCAAAATATACTATACCTTACAGTTCAATCTACTACGTAATTATGAACTAAACATTTCTCTCACGGCACGGGAAGGGCACGGCGGGATGGCACCGCAAGGGAGACGCCGTAGGTGCGGCGCGATTGGCGCAAAGCAGCCATTGAGTGAATCCCGCCACGCCCACTCCGCTCTGCTCCGCCCTGTCCCGCCCGCTCCGTTCCGCCCCGCTCCGTCTTCCCTCGCCAATAGCTTCAAGCCGCCCAGCCCCGCACTTCTCAACTCCTGGCGCCCCGCTCCGCGTGCCATCGTCCTGCTCTCTCCGTATCATCACCCACCACCCGCACTGGTCCGCCCCGCCTTCTCTCCACGTACAAGCCGACCTGCTCTTCCCTGTTTCCGGCTCAACCCGCCTCGCCCCGCCTTGCCCTGTCGTCGGCTACGCTAGGACCACCGCTGCGACGCTATTATTACATAACTGTTTTGCGGGTTGCATTTAAAGAGTTTATTTAGGGTCCATTGTTTTATGTACCTAGAATCCAAGAGAAGTGCATATTAAAATATATTTTGCCGATCCGGTGGCTGTGATTGCTAAAACAGAAGTGTCGTGGCAATCTCGGACCGATGGATCGCGTGGTCGAGTACCGCCTCGTGCATGTTTGTATGTGTTCGTCCTTTCACCCCCTACCATGTCTTCTTCACAGTTACCATAACATTAAATTCAACAGTGGTCGCTAATGACCTAGATGTTGATGCGACCTTGAATATATAAAAAACTTTTTTAAAAGAAATGTCATATATATGATTAATTCCTTGAATTTTAGTTTATTGTGATGCATGTAAGCATGGTCAAAGAAAACTATGCAGGCCCTTTGAAAGTCTGTATTTACGGCCAGTCCGTTTATAACCGCTTGATGACATTCCTCTCACTTCCCTTCTGCATTCCTATATGATTTGTATCAATTCTGCCAATATTATTTGCAGCGACGATATCGTAACAATTTAATTATTCGTAAAAAAATATCCCCAACGTCTTAACTGCAGTGACTGAACTGATTCTTTGAGGCATTAACAGCTGACACTGCCTTCATGAGGCTGCCAAACGAATACATTTCACAGAGGATGCGATATTCCACAATACTCGATTCTTTCAAGGCCGGTATAGTGCAGTTTTCATGCAGATTCTCATACAGTTTCTGTACAGAAACTTCAAGATCCCAAAATAAAAGTATAAAAGCCAAAAGTCACGTATTTCCTGTATGTACGTTTTCTTTATGAATCGCCACGAGACGCCGCTATGGGGTCTACAAGTAAACAACTAAATTGCTCTGTCCAAGTACTTTCAGTGGCGGTATTTCTGTGCGTTCTAACCGTGATCTTTATTATGTATTAATTAACCATGAGGAGCTTAGAGAAGAAAAAATTGAAGGCGGGAATTGGGAAAGAGGTAGTTTATGATAATATCACTTCACGTAATCACATCGTGACATACCTAATCACAAAATCGAAATGGCCGATTACCGTCGCGTCAGGTAAACAAATCAGTCAGTGAACTGTTGTGCCTCTAGAGGCGCTTGAGTCAAACTGTAAGCTTTATGCATGAAAAATTACGAACAAGATCAAAAGTTTTCATGAATAAATCGTTCAATTGCACGTTTTCTGTGCGTCCAATCTGCACGAAACCTGTACCGTGTATCCTGGCCTTTAGACAAAGCGTGCTGTACCTGAGGGCTGCGGGCCGGCGCGACGCGGCACCGACGCCTGGGCGAGGAAGCAGCTGCGCTGGTCCAGCTCGTACACGATGATGGGGCAGAGGTTGAGGAAGCGCGCGGCGTCGATGGCCACGCCGTGGTTCGCCTCCAGCCCGAAGGTGACGAGCATCTCACGGGGAGACAGGCAGGGCGGCGGCGCCGCGCTCCCAGCGCCGCCCTCCGCGCCGGCCGCTGCGCCCTCGCCTGCGCACAGACACGCACGCATTCAGCTTTGGGTGCAATTTATGGCCTTGGACAGGCTACAGTCTCTGGATTCAGTGGGGGCGACAGTTTACTTACGGGGAACATTCGCGGCATTGGTCACATAGCATATCTGACGATTTATTAACATCAAGGGCTTTAAGGAAGCGACTCATTAAATTCATGAACTTCAAGGGAATTCAAGGGCTCAGTTGAACAAGGGGATATCCCACATGGACCTAATTCTAGGATATTGAGGGGTTTTATTATTCAATACAACTTTAAACATAGAGCACTTGTGTATATGTCCATTCTGTATTTAAATAACATATTACTTTAAAATAATAGAATTTGAAGTTATATTTCATGCTCATGACTCAATTGGACAAAAATATTGGATAAGCCCCTGTTCTAATTCTATTCATTTCTTGCAGCAGTCAACAAATTGAAACGTTTCGATTTACTTATAAATGAATGTAAAATATAATAATTGAGTATTCATGCAAATAGAAATAATCTTAAATACTAAATCGCAGATTGTGTACAAATAAAAATGATTTAGTTATGTACGTCTCCACATGTATTCATATTCTAAAATATACATATTTTCATTATTATTTTTATTTATTAACATGGTTGCATTGTGTCAATATTTAAAGTAAATTCACTTCGTGAATAACCTTGCTTTCATCTGTAGCCAAAAAAGTACGCGATTCACGCTATCCATTGCGGAATTCCCCCTCATAGCATTCCCCTTGGCGTTCGCCCGAGGCTTGCGAAACGTGGCCCCGCCTGCAGGCGCAGCCATGGCGGAAAGATGTGGGTGAGGTTCCCCGGCGCACCCATTTTTGCTCGCTCTGCGCCTGTTTGCGTCACGAACCACGTGACCACTTCACGGGCACTTCGTTTGAAAAGCGATCGCTGGCCGACATGTTGCATGGAGAGCGAGAAGTGTTGAGAAATATTTTGGAAGTGGCGTAAAGTGACAATTTTCAACGATGATCAGCAAAAATAAAACTATGGAGTACGTAATGCAATATTTAAAAGTTATGCTTCATATATATGTTTCAATGACTCGTAACAAGGTGATAATCTTCGTATTTACCAGTATTTAAAATTCCTGCTAAAATGTGATGCAAACTGGTGCCTGAAGTTCATTGACTGAAGTCGGATTCGATGCGCTATAGCTCACCCATGACTTTTCACCGTGCTCGTTTCCCTGTGCTCATGAGACTGCGACATGGCGGCGCTGGGTGCGCGAGCGTTGGGCACGTACACGTTTATTCTGTATTCGAATATTCTGAAACGTCGTTGGACTGGCGAAAGTTTTGATGCAGGAAAGCCCTTGAACTCTGGCAACGAGATGAATACAAATCGGCCCTTAGCCATTGTCGCTGCTCCGGGAATGTCATATGGCTCGAGTTCTAGGTCTGTTCTTTATAACAGGCGAATTCAGCTACTGCCTGGAGGTCAATTCTAGTGGCCGGATGCTCTGATCGGTGGTATTCCGTCGTTTACCTGATCGATATCAGGCGAATAGCGGAGAAATACCTTCACACACTGACCACACTGTCTTAACCTCTCCCTTACACCCTCATACTTACAAGCACTACACTACCACACATGACGGCAGACCAGTCGGGAACTTAGAGCTTGTCCCGGCTGCGGCGGTTCCTACAGAAACTCCTCTTTGTTTGACGAGGATCCCAAACATTGAGTGTGTCGTTCGTCACTAACTCAGTTTTAGTTGAACCTCTGATATCCCGGCAGAGGAGAAACATGATCATGGAAGCGGGCATGCTTTGTGGCGGAAACGTGTAAAAGACTACCCGGACCCTGAGTTTCACAGTGGCACTCACGTTGTTAGCTTCAAGGTGGAGTCAGTGAGTAAGCGATGCTAAGCTTCCTGTAAGTTGGAGCCCTGGCGCGTCGAACTTTGGTCGGGATTGAGGGAAGGGCTTCTTTGGAATGACCCGGATCCCACATATAAAAGATCACGAACCCCTTGTGAGGTTGCCTAGATTCCAACGGTACCCGCGTCGCTATAATAAAGGAGATTTGCAGTGTGGAGCCGGGAAGGGGGCTCCATGCCGCCCAGGCCTTAGTTCAGGTGGTACCGTGTTGGGCTCTTGGCGTCGTCGAGGCAGTGGCCCAGTTCTCTGGGCATAGAAGAGAGACTTGTCCCGGCGTATTGTTCCGACTCCGGCAATGGCCTGGAAAGCTGGTAGCTCTGAGCTGGCAGGGCGGCCTAAGCGAGGCATTGAATGCGCAGGTTACCGAGAGGGTAAACTGCGTTCTGGAAGGATCCAGATACCAGCCTGTCGGAGTACTTGTACACCGACGAGGAATGTGGATAAAGGTGAAAAGCTTAGGTGTCCTCCCTATGATGAATTCCGTCCGGTAGAATACGTTATTGTCGGGAGAGGTAGACCAAGCTGGGTTCCTATTCCTCCCCTACGTACGCAGTAAACATAATTCTATTTTTGATATTTGCTTTTGCGTATTGTTTTACGTAATTTGTATGTTGATAGTGAACCCAATACTTAACATGCAAAGAAGCGAGGGGGCCGCTATGAAAGGTGCTTGGGTATCAGGATAATTAAGAGATGTAACTTGAAAAATTAAAACCTTAGATGGTAAAGTTAAATTCTGTAAGACAATGGTAAGACCAATTTTGACGTATGAAGCTGAAACCCAAGTCGAATCGAAGAAAACAAAACAACTATACTGATCAGTAGAAATGAACAGACGTGTGTTAGGGGAGACAAGACTATGGCCTTCAGTCTTCACGATTTACATAAAACAATCTTGGGTCTGTACTAATTATTTTCTACGCATTTCTATTCGAAAATTCTTCACTCGAATACACACACAATCTCATACTCAATCCTCATACTCAATCATCTTACTTTAGCTAACGCCGAGTGTCAAGTGCCAACATTAGCTTGATGAAGTTCGAAATGTTCCAATCATACTGATTTGGAAGCTTTATCCAATTCGTCTAGTCAATCAACCGAATAATTCGTATTTGAGACCTTAACAATAACACACACATCATTGATTGATTCCGGGCGCGTCAACAGCTAACATCTAGTCCCGTAATAGTGGTGCATGCGGAATATAGCGGTTCCCGTTGGCTGGCCAGATCCGGCGCCAACCTACGTCGGCTTGCGGGTTTTTCCCCAACAATGTACTTCCCCCAGCGTGGCACCGCCCCAGCCGGAACAGGCCCTAACCTACCAACTCATCTCCCGACAAGTGTGATAGTGTAGAGGATGTTAAAGTGTGTAAGAAAGTGGTGAGGATAGAAAAATGAAGGAGAAGGAATCATAGCAGGCGGATTGTTTTGTGAGGATACTGCTCCGGCATTCGACTGGTGATGATCGGCGAAACCTCTGAGAACTACCGATCGCTAGAATTCCCATTCTCGGAACGAAAGAACCGTCCGCAAGAATTCTCCTACAGTCAGCAGCTGAATATGATCCAGATGCCAGACGAATGCTGAAAATCTTGCCAACGTTGGGACTCCAACCTTTAGACCTCCCGGTCACAGACACTGCAGTGACATCAGTTGATGCCCTGAGCTACCTTTGGCGGTAACATTCACATGACATTTACCTTGCCAGTGTGCGAGTTCAGTGGCGGCTTGTGCTTGATCTCATTTCTTACGAGGAGAAATGCAATTAGCAGCGAAAAATTACTTCCAATGAAACAAAAAATAAAATACATGCGCCCACGTGCAATGAGCGAAGAGAGAACTCTCGGTTCGGGGTGCCTGCTTATCCGACTTCCGCTAGCACAAAATGTAAAATTACTCCACCCGGCGTCAACCGCGGCCCCTGACTCATCGCAACACCCCGTCACGGGTTGATCTAGTTGAAATAGACATCGCTAGATGGCTGGTTAATCAAAGGAGGAATTCTTCCCTTGGGCCCGTAAAGCTTCATTAGAAAACGTCTTATATTCTAACCGCAGAGTCGCTGAGAAGATATGGGTTATTAACACAGGACAGGCAAATCTAGGAGTTTCTTGTAAGAGTTGTGGAATAGTTTTCATGTCGCTTAAATGCGAAAGTAGTTTACAATTCTATTTCAGTAAATACGTCGTGGCTATCAACACAAAAACTATTCATATTTCCTCGAGCACCCAAACAAGCATTTTGCATGTTAATCACATTTTAAAATGGAATATTACAAGAACTTTCCTCCCTCCCCTCTTGAGAACCACCTACTGCGAGAGTATCTGTCTCCTCCAGGGCGAGCCGCGTGCGTGGCCGCCTCGTGGCCGGACGCGGGCGCACGCGCATTGGCACTCGTGATGGACGTCGCGTGGGGCGGGGGCGGGGGAGGAAGGCCAGGATGCGCTCACTTGGGCCGCCCCCACCCCGCCGCCGTCCCCGCCCTCACCGCGTCGCGCCGCCGACACCCAGGCCGAATCCGCGAAGGTCATCAGCGCCGTGCGGGGATCTGTGATGCAGGTCCCAGGGAGCGAAATGGCAATTTGCTGGAGGGGGAGTGAGATGGCGCAGAAATAACAATTGCTGTCGGTGCCGTGGCTCTCAGGGGGAGGTTCTAGGGTTTGTGAGGATTTTGGATTTTCATATTCACCGACGGCGTGCCCTTCACAACCTAACACGCCACTGAACTAATTTTACTATCACAAATTTCAACGAAAAAGCAACTAAAACATCGTACCTTAAAAAAGCTATCCATCTTAACTTAAAATCGTAATGACTCACGTGCAATATTATAATCAGATACATGTTCGGTGTAGGAACACGTGTATTCGACGATTATTAGACTTATTGGCATTTACCTATACTACATATCTTTACATTTAAAAACGCTCAGTCTTCAAACATGAAAACATTCCGTATTTTCGCTTCTCTAATTAAAACAAATGTTTGCATCACGCTACAAAACTTCTGCTACTTTTGATAGATTGCAACTCGCGCATAAAAATGACCAACACAGCTATATTTAGTTGGTCTAGGAAA